CGTGGCATTGGCTGCTGATGCGCTTTGCGCAGCATGGTTTCCATCCGCCGCCTTTTCTGCGGTTCAGCACATACAGTGTTAGCATCCCTTTGCATAACTTCTGTCGATTCCTCCGGACCCTGCCATTCCTACCTGTCAGCTCCGTGAAATACTGTCCGTAGTACTCCGCCGATATGACCAGTGCATGAATCATTGCAGCCGGATCGGCTGCTATCCCGCCCGCCTTCAGCTGCGTTAAGCACCTTGCTACAGGGGCCCACCGTGCTGCCTCTGTTGTCCCATTGCCTGGCCAGCTGTCTATGAGTTGTCTGCGAACTTCCGAGTGAAGGCCGTTTTGAAGCAGCTGCCGTACCTCCTCCTCCGCGTCTTGCTCCAGCAACTTTGCTCGCCTCAGGCAGCGATCGAAAAACGGGCGTTGTCGTGAAAGCTTGTGAGCTGCAGCGCCTTCACTGCCATGCAGAAGGCAGCCGCTGGATGATTTCCTTTAGCGCCATTCCTTCGTACAGCTGTTTTATACCGGGATCCGCTTGCCAGACTTTTATCAAGCTGCTGGCTAGCTCCTGTTCTGTACATGCTTCTACCTGTGTGTGCTGCTGTGGAGCAAGTACAGCCTGCACTGGAAGCCCGTGTGCTGCTGCTTCATCGGCCGCAGCTTCGAGTGCTGCGAAAGCAGCCTGCCGCTGTTCCTGTACACTCCGTCTGTGCATACTTTCTAGCAGGAAATTATCGATTCTGCATTCGATTATCTGCTTGTTAATATTTAAGGGCTGGCACATCTTTCCAATGCGCCATCAACATCACTAACGAATTCAGTTGGGACATCGTGATTGCCAGAGTTGGAGCCTGTTTTCCTCGCGTACGGCTCCCCGTACTCGCTCCCGTATTTTTGGGCAGCGGATCCTCAGCCATCGCGGATGACTGCGGACAGTCCAGTGCGTCTGGTCAGTTTGGGGGCTTGAGTTCTGCTTTCTGGATGGGCCCTGGGGCGCTGGGGCGCTGGGGCGCTGGCGCGCTGGGGCGCTGGGGCGCTGGGGTGCTGGTGTACCAGGGCAGTGGATGGGCGTTTGGGCGCCGCCGTGCCAGGGCGGTGGATGGCACCGAGCGCATTTGCGCGCCGGGTGGCCAGGGCAGGGGATGGGTGCTGCTCGCGTTGGGGCGCCAGGGTGCTGGATGGGCGCCGGGGCGCTACGGTGCTAGGGTGCGAGGGGAGGGGGGGCTAGGGGGGTCCCCCCCCCTTCCGACAGCCGTACGGCAATCGTACGGCAGCGTACGGTATGAGCCCGCTATGCTGCCGTACGCTGCCGAGACCTCAGCATCCTTGGTGGGACACTGGGCCCAGGCACCACCCTGGGGTCCACGCGGCAGTTACTCCCGCCACTGCCGCCCCTCCCGCCCCTCCTGTCCTAAGACTGCTTTAGTGCCCTATTATACCCTTGCGTAGGTATGCGTAGCTTCCCCGAGCCTCTGATGCTCAGCCGCTACCGTGTGCCGCTGTAACCTTAGCATGCACGATAGCGTGCTTCTGTGCACATTCCTTGTTCCACCATGGCGCGGGCTCCGAGCGACACGCTGCCGTGTCGCCTGCCCTAACTCAAACGCGTAAAACTCCATTGCCCTGTACAGGATATTTCGTATGCGGTCCACCGTCTGCGTTCTTGTAAGCAATCCATTGCCTATTCCTAGAAGAACCACTTACACGTTGAAGCTTACGGCGCTATCAACACGGCGATATCAACGGGTGTGCGGTAAGCCACGTACTTACGCCAGTACTCGCTTGCGCTGGCAGGCGCGCTGACACCGCGGGGTGGGCAGGGTCTCTCCATCTGGCCGCCGTAGCCGCAGGTTCAGCTCCAAGCTTAATAACCTGGGTAATCACGCGAATGGAACAAAAGACGACCTCCTTGTGACCCTTGTGAATTTTGCATGCATAAAGTCGCTAGGCAGTATCAGATAGACAAGGAATAACGAATAGCCTCTATCGGTGTGTGTGTCATTTTTTGTGTGCGTCGTCGTCACCGAACATCCGCAAACCTGCTTCCCGCGTGTGTAATCGGTTATGTAGACCATCGAACACGGGACAGCTTTACGCCACTTACTGAACACATTGGCTGATACTCAGCCAAAAGCATCCACACGTGTTGCGCCCACCACACGTGTTAGGGCAGGTCAGTGCCCTTAGGTTCTTTCCCCCAGGACCCTCCCGTCCCGATCACGTGACACGAGCGAGCCTTCCAAAGAACGGCATACGGCCCCTAGTTAGTTCAGCTCCAGTACAATTCATGTATTCCCGTATCCATATGGGGACGAGTGGGTCGTATGGGGGGAGGGAAAAAGGGGGGTTCTTCCACACTCGCCGCCCCGGATGTGCGTGTGCAGCCCAGCGCGTGCTGTCGGTGCAGTCGGTGGACACGGACCCACAAGAAGAACCGGGGATGTGCAGCCCACCGTACGCCACCTCTTATGCTGGGTCGGCTGGTATGTGTGCGTGCGCGTAACATTTGCGTATGGAGGGCGCATTTTTTTGTGTGTATATACACGCGTGTGTTTATGCGTGTGCGTGCATGTATTTGACAGGGCCTGACACTGCTATCCAGCCTCAACAGACCCCTCCTAAGCAGCCGAGAGCCGGTCCGTGCACCCTTTCCCGGGGAGGCGCGTGTGTGCGTGTGTGTGTTCTGTGAACGGTAGGCGAATATCGCTCTTATGTGTGTGTATATGCATGTGTTTGAAGTAACGGGGCCGCGGTGGTCCTGAACGTGCGTGTGTTTGGGCGCGTGTGCGGCCGGCCGTCCGAAACGTGTTCCCCCGCGTCGTCACATTTTGACGGCTGCCTGGACGTGCCGTGTCTTGGAAACGTACGTTACTCATTTTAATTGTGGTTTTCCCTCATGTTTCAGTGCTCGTCTAACTGCTATAATTTGTACATATTATTCCACGGGTACCAATTTGCTCTGCGCCATCCAGGTGCAGGTGGGGCGTCCATTCGTCCGATTGCACATTGCCATGCTACATGGGCTTGGGAAGGGGGTTCGTTTCCGCTGCTTGCCTCGTACTCCGGCAGCCGGCGTGGCTTAGGTAAAATGCCGGACTGCCTTGTTGTTTCTAGGAGGCGGCAGGGGCGGCGTGCGACGCAAAACTGGAGTTGGCGTGGGGCCGGGTCACCACTCACTAACACCACCACCACCACCACCACCACCGCTCTGCCGCTGGTGGGGTTGCGTGTGGCCACATGTACTCCAATGAACCCCCTTCTCTTAACCCAGAACTGCACCTGGTGTCACATTACGAGGACTGGCGCCCGGTGTCCTCGAAGAGCGCGTGTGTCTCTTAGTGGACTGAGCCGCCGCTTGCAAGGAAATGCCGAGGATGTCCCACGAGCAACTTTTTCATCCTAAGGCGTCCAGCAGTCGTGAAGTCGTGTATGCTTAGACAGCACTTTGCCTTCCCGTCCCCTTATGAAGAGCCCAGCTGCACATTGCCGTACAGAGCTCGCGCATCCAGAGACTTCGGGCAATACGAGTGTGCCGAGCAGGTGACGTAGTTGTGAGAAGTTTGGCAAAGCCTAAAAATCGTTACCTTGTCGTCCTGCACGATTCTGCTGGGAGAGGTCCTGCTGGATGGTCTCCTCTCCTCCCGTATCCACGGGATACGTGCTCACGTATCCAAGCGCTGCCACGACATTTTAGCGTCACGTTCATTTTACCGCCTATCTGCCGTACGCACATGCTTTGTCGATGCTGCAGTCGTATAACGCGACAACGTAAGATCCCTAACGAATCTCTTGGCGGTACAAGATCCTCAAACTTATTACCGCCGAATAACGGCCTGTGGAAAGCTTAAAACATGGCCAAGAATTTGGGCCCTTTCACTTGGGTGTTCCCAACGTCAACCTGCACGGTCCCCAAATCCCACTCGTATCCGCAAAACAGGTCGACAGGCGGGCTGAACGGAACAGGACTGGGCAGGGCAGGCGGGATGGGCTCTCACTCAAACCTCCTGAGCGTCCCCACCATCACCTCCTCATTTTCTCGTTCTCCTTCCAACCTTCGTTCCCGCTTTGAAACCGCCATTTGTCGAAATACCGTAAATACGACCTTAAGTGATGAAATCCCATCAGGAACGCACACTTCCATCCCACACTTCGGGTCGCCAAGCCTCCGTTCCCACTCAAACCCCCGTTCCCACAAATTCAAAAGTTTTAAACGGTCTTGATGTTGAGTGCCATCCACAGGCCGTCAAAGCCGTGCTGCTCAATGAGGTGGGCCTTATGCTGTATGAGCCTAAGATAAGCCTCGTAGGCCACCCAGAAGTGGTGCAAGTTGGTCTTGTGGGTTATCAGCACGGTGCGCCGGAGGTAGGAAATCTGTACGGAAGCACGGAAAGCACGGAAGGAAGGTAGGAAAGTAAAACTTGTGGGAACGCGGCAGGCAGGAGATACCATGTGTATCATCACGCTTTGGTGTTCGTCCGTCCGTACGGTACACGTACGACTCCAAAGAAAAAGCTCCTAGATTAACCGCTCCGAACAACTTTTTATTTTTATTTTTCGTGACCCAGAATTTCATTCAAAGGTCACTATATGTTCGGTGGTTGATTTTTTGTTGGAAGTCCTCCGTTGTAAACGCCAGGTGCCGCCTCGCCCCTCTCCCCCCCCCCTCCGACCGGAGAGAACCCGGGATATAGGAAGCACTTACTTGGCCGTCACACCAGGCGATAACGCCGTACAATAGGTTGGCCGCCAGCCGGCGGGGCGGTCCCGTCCACCACTCCACCGTTTGCTCCAACCACTGCTCAGCGGGCCTCAGAGCGCCCGGACTTAGCCACGTGATCACCTGCAAACGCGCGGACGGGCAGGTAGCTGCGTGAGAGGGGGGAGGCAGGGGGTTCGTCGTGTGTGGGGCCGCAGTCACGTGTACTTGACGGGGCTCGTGCGGCGGATGGTTGTGGCCAGGTGGGTGGTAGTGGGTGGTAATGGGTAGGCGCCTGTGTGGGTGCGGCTCGGGGGATGCGATGGTCCCGCTGGGGTGAAAGAGACTACTCTCCATGCTGCCGTCGGACAAGTCACTGCCGTACTTAGGCCAGCGGGTCGGTTTTATCGGAGGGTCCACATGCAGCCCATGTGTCACATGACCCATGGGTCCACTGACCTGGTGTAGCAGCTGACCGCTGAAAAGGTCTCTCGAGTTGCTGGCGGTCGCGCTCTGCGCGTATTTATAGCACCGTACTGTGTGCCGGCTGCTACACCTGGTAAAACCCTAGGAAAACCAGGAGCTCCCTCTCACCCGCCAAGGCAACGTCACGACCCATGCCACAGTGCTCCAATACCACACGATGACGGACCAAAGCCATTGTAGGTTGCGTAGCTTCGGGTGGCGCGCCGCGCCGCCACTGACCCCGGCTCCGGTAGCGCCGGTATACGAGTAGATACTGCCGCCGCCGCCGGCCCGGCTGCCACCGCCACCGCCGCCGCCGTACATGCCACTGCCGATGGTCATCGGAGCTGCCGTACCGGGACTGGGCTCAATGGCGCTTCCTAAACGCTGCTTCATTCGGCTGCCGGCGGTGCCGCGGAAAGCGGCACCAGCGGGGCTGATGTCGTACGGACCGGAAGGAATTGAATCAGCGGCGGCGCCGCCGTAGGCGTTGGCGCTGTCATCATCGGCGGGCGCCGGCTGCAGCTCCGATGGGAAGCTGTCCGCGGGGCCTAGGTCGACACCGCGTCCGGCGCTACGAACGTGCGAGTGGACGTGCGGATGAGCTTGCCATTGAGGATCAGAGGGCTTCGTGCTGCCCAGCGGCTGGAAGTGGTGGTGATGATGGTGAAAATGGGCGGTGGGCAACATGAAGGCGGGCGCGGTGGGAAGCATACGCGGCGGCGGCGCAGGGTCGGCAGAGCAGCGCGAGGTGATGCGAGCTAAGCTTCGTAGCAGGGCCAGGTACAGTACGGCGTAATTGACACGGAGCGGCCTCAGCGAGGATCGAAAGGAGCGAAGACAACCAAAAAACGAGCCCGGAACGATTATTGCTAAAGTCTTCAATAGTAAATGAAAGATCTGCTAAGAGGCGCCAGGCGGCTGAGTTAAAAAATGCGCGTATACAACAGTTCTTTGCTGGCTGCTTCTGGCGCTTCAAAAAGCGGCTGCAGGAAGGTCTGCTTTCTTGCCTCCAACAATTTCTTCAATCCAAGCACAAAAAAAGGAAATGATGCGAACCCTTCCTGTTGCGCACGCAACTTCTGCTGCTGCTGGGCGCAGCCAGCTGGCGTTGCCTTCTAGCTAGACGGCGCGTAGCCTTGGGATTGTCATGCCAAAATCGCGGGCAAACACATCAAACGTCTTCATGTCTGTTTAAAATTTAGAGTCCTTAGACTTAGACATCAGCAGATAGTGTTTACCTCTGTCGGAGGGCCCTCGGGGGCCCAGGAGGCCGTCCAAAGTCAAAACTCATCAGCTGTCTCACACCACGCCGCATGAGGGCCAGGATGCCGTACACCGCTTGTCCTCTCGCAAAGAATTTAAAAAATACGGGTCTTCACCAAATCCACCACTGCCATCGTTTTCCAATAATCATCGCGCATTGCATCTCGGTGCATTTTCATTGCTGGTGATTTTGCCCTCGGAAGGGATTTCTCCGCTGCCCTGTGGGCAACGACTGCTACCGCCGCTTGAGCGTTACCTTTGACCACCACCACAGCCTTGAGCACCGTCTGGACGTTCAGAGCGCTGCTCAACAGTCGGAGCCTGAGTTCAGCCTTGCCGTTTCGCGACTTCGCAACATCCTTATCCACTCAGTCCAATGGCCGTGACGCCGACTACTCGCCCCATCTACGACCGCGCCTACCCGCCGCTGAAGCGCTTCTCCTGGCCTTGGCGTCTGTTGGCCACTTACACGAGCTTCCTCGCCTGGTAAGAAGATAGACGGGGGTGCTGCGGGAGCTGCCAGCAGGCGCGATCGACGGGAAGCAGGTCTGAAACGCCTTCTGCCGGGATATTGTCTGTCGGGGCTGTTACGTTGTTGTCGAAATGACCAGCGAAGTAAAACAATGGGTGTGGGTTGACGCGCATTGACAGCGGGAATAACGAAAGCAGCCGTCACCCAAGCTTCGCACGCGAACAAGCCGAAGCGGGGGGATATTGTCGCACGCGCTTACCGCAGCCTTGATAATGCATAGGAGATGGCTAATGTGTAATCGCGTGTATCGCACTGCTGTGGAACCTTTCGGCGCCACCGCCTGCGGCTGACGGTGTGCTGAGCAGCGCGCGGTTTGGAAACTGACCCACGGGTCATCCACCCGCCTGGCTGATATTTCTCTAGGCAGGCATGTCCTCTACCCTGATGAAAAGGATTTCAGGGGAGCACGTTTCAGCGTCGTGTCATTTCGATGATTTCGCATCAAAGATGCCGTCTGTGTGCAATTGCACCGTTGTAATGGTGTCGTGCGTCTGCTCCCTTTCCCGCTCATTTTCTGGTGTGCGCTAGGCTGGCCTCGACCCCCTGGCTGGTGGTGCGCTCGGTAGCCCCTGCCAATTTCAAGGTGCGTGGGTTTCAGCGGCGGATTTGTTGCGGGGGGCCCTGTGGGCAATACATGCCAGAGCACGGATACCCCGACAACACAGGCCCTCAATCGCGCTGCAACCACAGAGGGAGGGGGTCGTCAGTCGCACAAGTTGCGCTGCCGCAAATGTGCCACACGAATCTTTTGCCAATCATTTCTGTTTCGTTCTGTTTGGGCTCTCCGGCGCTTTGGGGCGCCGCCGTGAAAGAAGTGATGCCTTGAGATAGGACAAGTTTCACAAATTTAAAGGTTTGAACTCGGGCTCTCGCCGCGTTTATTGGTGCTACGCCTGCTGCTGCTGCTGCTGTGTTGCTGTTGACGATAGGGGTGTTACTCTGTGTGGGTGGCTCGCCCTGAGATGTAAGGACGACCACCATCGAGGAGGGCGGGGCGACCGGGGGGGGGGCCGAAACTCAGCGCAGGACCGCCTCCTTGCTGTTGCTGTTGCTGTGACGCGCAGGACAACCTGGATGACCTGGAGCGCAGCTTCTTCAACGTTGCTACACCTATCGTCACATTTGTACAGGATACCACAAACAAGATATTCGCCACGCTGGACTCCACGGTGTGTGTGGGGGTGGTAGTGGGGGTGGGTGGTAGTGGGGGTGGGGTCTGGGTGACACGAAGATCTAAGGACCTGCCCCACTCGCATATGTGTTCCCTCCCGGAATTGGTGATGGGCTGTTTGGGAAGTCGGGACGTGTACTGGCGTGTGGTGGGTAGGGTGGGCACCAGGCGCGGATCAGTACCCCGAAGTGCCCTTCACGCGATAACCCAGAGGTACAGCCCCATGACCTGACCTGACGTGACGTGACCCGGCCCTCTTAAGCTGAATTGAGTTGTGGTCCTGGCAGCCAGCCGGTGTGGGGAGAATCAGCCAGCCAGCCTGTCCCACTTGAGTTTGTGTGTTTTTGTGTGTGTGTTGCGTGTCCTCTCCTCCCCAAACCCCCGGGGCCTCGGCCAGACTGATTGGGCCATCAACACCGCCACCCACGTCTACCAGCACAACCTCAAGGGCTTCGAGCACACGTTCGAGAACTTGCTGTTGAACCTCGAGCAGCGAGTGCGCATCCTGAAGGTGAGAAGACATAAGGGGTGTGGAAGTGCGAGGATGAAATCATCGCACATCGCAGCAGAGATCAAACAACCTGTCTCGGTACAGGTTTGTATGGCGCTCGTTAAGGAGCCCCTCACACAAATGCGATGCAAAAGGACGAGCAAGGATAAACTAACCGTGCACCCGGATGTGTCGTGTATCGTTGTGATCGCGTGTGGTGGAAGAGCATCGTGCCAAGTCGATATATTCTAGGTTGGGACGGATTTTGATTTTTGAAATCTCGCTTTACCTTGTTTCCAGTTGACCTTATCTGTGTTTTTAGTCTACACCACGCTCGATACTGTTGGGAAAATGACCGACACTCACACTAGGAAATGGTGTCTGCAGCAGCGGGACCCGGGAGGGATCCGGCGCGTTGCTGTGTTTGACTAATACCGTTGTGTGTCTCTCTCTCCCTCCCCACCTCCCAGAATGAGGGTCTCAACGGTATTCCCAAGGCAGTCTCCTTCGACGTCAGCGTGCCGCTGGTCCAGAAGACCCCGCTGGCCAACACCCCGATTGCCGAGAAGCTGTCGTGAAGTCGTAACAGCCCTGACAGCTGCCTACCCGCGGCGGCAAGCGCCAATCTGGGATCGACGCATTGCGGGCAGATGGACATACAGATGAAAGCAACTGCGGGCCCGTCGTGTGATAGGTACAAGCGTAAGGTGCGTTGTGAGGTCGTGTTGAGCTGTAGATGAGAGAGGCGACTGCGGCGGAGCGCAGTGTCCCGTTACTGTGAGTACGTGAAATGCCGTGGCGGGTTGGTAAACGCTCGGGTTGGTAGGGCTTCTTCGATGTATGCGGAGTGTTGGGTTGTGTGCGGATTATGTGCGAGTGTCGTTGCTGTGGTGTGCGGTCGGCGTATGAGATAGGAATATCGGGTAAGAGTTAAGGTTGAAGTTGTGTAGACGAGGGGGGGATGGTAAGGGGACGGAGCTGAGCCAAAGTGCATCTCTCGAAGATCATCTCCGATTGCTGAGTGCATTGCAGGTCATTGCACTCGCTATTGAGGACGTGCAGTCGCCCTGTCCTTTGCATTTGCAGCGGGGACGTGTTCTGTCTTATTGTTGGTCTTCTCATTTTGATTCTCTCTCGAGAGAGCGTTGTGGTGTGAACGGTTCATCGGTATTGATCATTCTTGCCATCTTGCGTGCAGAGCAGTTGCAACAGGGGTGTGCGTGTGTGAGATAGAGCGTAACGAACAGTTCTCTTTAGTGATGGCGTTCGGCTAGATTCAAGCTATATACTTTTGGGAGTTTGTAGATTTTTCTGTACAGTATGAAGGTGTTGATATCCAACACAATTTGATGTGTGTGTCTGCGTGTTCCACCTCGGTTGGGTTACCTATGGAGGTGTAACGAGCCTATACGAGCCAGAGGCGATTGTATTATGTGGGCCACTTTTGCTTACACGCTGTCCTTTATGATTAACTTCATATCGAAATCTATTGCAAAGAATTACGACGGAGCATCCGCGACATGCAGCGTAAGCCGGGCATTCTGCAAAAACATGGCGCTTATCTTCCACTTTGGCGCAAAAACTTGGCGCACAACTCGCTGATCCTCTGCCGTCGGGGCTTTCCAGCAAAGGCACGATTCGCCGCGAGGGGCCAACAGCACGGTCGAAATCAATGAATGATGCACCTCTGCTGGGATGAGCTCTCGGTATGCAAATGTACCTTGTCCATTACCGCGCATGTACGGTGTGTACATCGTTCCCAGACAATGAGAGTAGCAGGGAAAGTGGCGCGCGACTACCTCCAGACCGGGTATGCCTAGCGAGGTAGAAACATAATGCTCCGGAACCCTCGACAGTACTACTCCGCGTCGGACTACTCCGCGTCGGATAGATGGGACGGGAGACCCAGCGAAGCAGGAACTACTCGGCGAAAATGCGCGTTCCCAACTAGGGGAGGGGAGGCAGCTGTGGCATTAGGGTGATTACCCATTTACCTGTGTTCGTTCGCACCTCCATATTCAGCAGTAGGAACGACACACCATGATATAGAATGTAGTGCGGTTAAAAATAAACTGTTCCAAACGGTGTGTTATATAACGACTTCAGAAAAGTAACGATTGGCGGATGCAAATCCCGTGATTGTCCAGAATGCTACACAGCGTGGCTATAGTGTAAATAGCAAGATCATTCAGAAATTTGCCAGGATTTGGCAAATCGGCCGGGCTGCTACTGCACCCACCTGTGCACTTTGCCTTCGAATTATCGGGCTCTGGAACTCGATCAGGATTCCATTCGCATCATAAGTCAAATGGCCATTTTGAGACAGTGATCAAGGTTAGCTGATCGTTTAGTTTTTGCAGGCTGACAAGGCTGCATCCTAACGGTGAAATACGGTCGTCGTAACCACTTCGTTCGTTCGTTGTCGATTTAGAGTGTTGTCATGTACGCATGGCCTTAGCCCAGAGTCCTAAACCTGCTCTCCACAAATCTTAAAAGCCACGTCTGAGCGCCGCACGCGGACAGCGCGCCCAACCCCTTTCTGACTCCACTTCCACGACACCAATCGTAGCAAGAAATGCACAGCAACACGCACGGACGCGTGGAATGGAGACCGTCGTGCGGCCAATACACGCCACCACCGTCGAATATGATACGAACAGCTCACTATAGTTCCAACATCGTCGTAAACACATAAAACGCGTGAAGCCGCACCTGCTGGGTATTTCCTTTTTTAATATCGACAGCAGCGATGGCACAGTCAAAGTACAATAATGCTGTAACACAAGACGCCCTCAGCTGTGGAGGGGCAAGGTTTTCCGGCACCAGTGAGGATTTAAGAGGGGTGCTGGTGTTGCCGTCTCGGAAGAGGAGGCGTCCGCAGTATGGGTGGGTTTTGGTAGGGGAACGTGCGGACGGCGCAATATTTGGGGGGCTCAGCACTGTACTTCGAGGCATCTCGGGCGAATATAGCAATATAGATATAGCAAGCCACGGAGTGTAATGGCTGTGAGGTGCGGCGAGAAGCCACCAAGGAGCTGCATTGAAACTCATTCGCCTATGTGGGTTTCTTACTGTTGTTAGGAAAACACCATGCCGACTTAGCAGGCCCAGGGAATGAGTGTTGCGGTTGAGCGCTATGGGGCCCAGGGAATGAGTGTTGCGGGCCCAGGGAATGAGTGTTGCGGTTGAGCGCTATGGGGCGCGGCAGGTGCATGCACACGCAGAACTTGGGTGACGGGCGTGTGAGGACAAGAGGACTTGTTGTGCCAAGAGGACTTGTTGTGCTGGATTTTGGCGAAACCGAAAGATATAATTCACTTTATGTATATGTACCATCGCGTAGACTACAGATGGCGTGTTATCAGCCACGATGCAGCGTCTTTCTGAACTTTTTTCATCCGGGACTTGTCCTGCATGCAACGTGGACGGCCCCGAGACCGGCACAAAAAACAAACGTTATGCAGCGTGTAATATTATATTTGTCTCCATAGTTGCTAGATTGCAGCTGTTATGCATAAGTGACCGGTTCTGCAGCTGAGACTGCTGAGACTACTCAGTTCAGGCAAGCATTTAGTTTGCAGTTCGGTCGTTGGACATCAAAGAACTGGTGGTTTTACTTCTACCTTTTGTAAAAAGGTAGAGCATCTCAAAGCAGTCCTTCGTAGGTTGGTTCCTTCCACGAACGTCATCAACCAGCCGACGGTCCTCGCAGGCTGTAAACATGTCGAAGGCGGTAGCTGCTGCCAAGGGCATGGAGTTTGTTGTCAGCAAGGTGGACAATGTTATCAACTGGGCTCGCGCGGGTTCAATTTGGCCCATGACGTTCGGGTTGGCCTGCTGCGCGGTGGAGATGATGCACGCGGGTGCTTCACGTTATGACCTGGATCGTTTTGGCATCATCTTCCGGCCGTCGCCCCGGCAGTCGGACTGCATGATTGTCGCCGGAACTCTTACCAACAAAATGGCACCAGCGCTGCGCAAGGTGTATGACCAAATGCCGGAGCCAAAGTGGGTTGTATCCATGGGCAGCTGCGCCAACGGCGGTGGCTACTACCATTACTCGTACGCTGTGGTCCGTGGCTGTGACCGCGTCGTGCCTGTTGACGTCTACGTTCCCGGCTGCCCCCCAACGGCCGAGGGCCTTCTGTACGGCCTTCTACAGCTGCAGAAGAAGATTTACCGGTCGAAGACCGCGCAGGTTTGTAAATGGCCTTCGTGGGGTTTCCTCATAGCGACGGTGAGGGGGCAAAAGGGGTAGCCTCAGAAGATTTCTGGTGGATCGCTCGCTTAGCCGACTATTACAAGCAGCCAGAACAGTAGGCCCCGGCTGATATTTCGGCGTTCCGAGTTTTGTCAAGTTGAGCGGGTTCGGGTCACGGAATGCCCGCACTGCCTATCTGTATGCTCTATATGTACAGCTTTCCAATTTCTGATTACTTTAATTCATTACGTATAACCCTATTCCCGCACTTCGCCTCGCGATGCAGATTTGGTACAAGAAGTAAGCTGCTTTAGCGGCGGGACGGTGGCGGCAGCAGCAGCAGCGGCTGGGAGTGTATTCAGTCGTCGCCTGCGTGTCCTTTCTGTCGGGTGATTCCCTAACGAGCTTACGTCTCGTGATGCAGTCGACCCCTGGTCATCTGTTTGAACCACTTGCCCGAATGCGCACCACCATCGGTACATTCGTTGGAGCATGTTGTTGGGGGAGTGGGAGGTTATGTGGCCATGCCCCATTACCGGCTCGTTGAAATGAGCTCGTGTGCCATCCATGGGAAGACACCTCGACAAAGGCTTGACAACCAGGGGCATGTGGTATGCGTGTAGGCTGGTGTGTGCACGGCTTTGTTTGGTCATGTAAGATGTGGGTAGATATCCAGCTGTGCGTGTAAAATTGCGGCGGCAGCAGTGGGTTCCAACGGCTTGCCATCTGCGCGGTGCAGTGTTGAAATTGGGTCGATGGCGGAATTTCTCTTGTTGCGCTGAAGTGTTTGGTGTGGTGTGTTTGAGCTGGTCTTGCGTTCCCTTCGAAGTGCCATATATGGCAGCTAGCATATACATGTGCTCATGTTCATTTGGATTCGTGCGAATGAAAGCGTAGCGGTGGCGATTATTGTTGGGGTATGGCATGACGGAGGTTTTTTTTTGGCAGATGCTGGTCATGCGCTACTGTGGTGGGTATGTTGCGGTTTCTGCCTCGTCTTCTGCCGAATAGGTTTCTGAAACACGTGTGCAGTGCAGGGGTTCTTGCAACCGTTGTCTCGATGCCCGTTCCGGCTTGCAAAGGAACACGCTTTCGCGTGGAAGTTTTGTTGTAAAAGTGCTGCCCGGCGGCAGTGCAATGTAATCGCCTAGCTCTGGTATAGAGGTTACCGGGGGACATGCGAAGTACCGTTGTTACCTCTGTATATCCGCTGAGCGAGGAGTGAAACGGTGTGCATTGGACGATGCACTTCATTCGACGCCGTGGAAAAAGAACGGAAGCGAGGATGGATCCCAGCCGCTATGTTTGAATGGTCGGGTTCCAACCAGATTGTCATCCTATGTCGTCCTATGTAATGCTGTTAATGAGCTCGGCATTCTAAACTAAATAGAAATTCAGAATGGTGACCAGCTGGTGTTCGTGGACAAACGAAAATCGAAGCTCCCTTACTAGCTGTGCCGCATAACTGTTCCCACAACCGTCATCCCTTAGCCATACCCAGATCAAACGGCGCCGCGAGTACGTCGCTTGACCTTCAAAACTCATAGAGCTCTTCCATCGCTTTCCAACCTCCGTGTCCCCCCCGGGCCCTACACCCCTCTCACCGGATGTCACTCTTCCCTGCACCTAGTCTGGGTCCGCAGCTCCACCGACGCCTAAACAGCCTCCTCGTCAATACGTCCATCCATTATGCCCCTTGCCGTCCACTATCCAACTTTCACATTTCATTTCACATTTCGCTCTTCCCCCACTGCGTGTGTATCTACATCGCCTCCCGCCGCCTTCTCCCACGTCCCCCGGCCCGCACCCCGCGTCCCCTCACTCCATATCCTGCAGTAGCGGCACCACGTCGCCATCCTGTAGCGCCTCCGGCCAGCCGCGCACCATTCCCCGCACGTGCGCGCTGCCCACCACCCCCACCACCGTCCGCACGCCGCTCAGCCCCCGCAGCGCCCCGTCGCCCACACCCTGCGGCGCCGAGCGCTGCGGCCCTCCCTCCGGCATGACGTACCGCCACACCATCTTGCCGTCCACCTCGTCTAGCACGTAGGCGGGGGCCACACCGGGCTTGCCTACGAGGGCGCAGCGACAATGTACAACAAGGCTCAACAGCGGGTGAGAGCAGGGGAGCCGACACCGCGTTATCATGGCGAGGGGGGTGGAGGGGGGGCCAGCGGGAAGGGGGGCTAGGGGGGGTTTTAGAGCAGCAAGGTGGAGAAAGGAGGACCGGACCAGGATGGGGCCCCCCTCAATAGATGCGAGCTACACACGTGCTGCCCACGTGTTGCTGCTCGTGTGCGCTGCCGTGTCGCACCTGAGGCCATCGCAGCGATTGCCTTGGCCATGAAGGAGTCTCGCTCCGGAATGAGCGCCTGGAAGGCGCCCGGCCAGTCCAACAGCGCATCCTCGCCGAACAGCCTCAGCGGCCTGGGCAGAGGGTTCGTTATGTAGTCGTGGTGTGGGTATTATGTAAATTATGTGCCGGTTTGATGGAATGGAAGGAAAGAGGTTATGGGGGAAGTGAGGGAGTCGAGCGCAGCGGGGAGCTGGTTTGCAGCAAAGGGGACGACACATCCAAAGGCTTGGCAGCGCAGCAGACAAACAGCAGACAAAAAGCTCTCCACAATCCGGCACCAGCGGACACAAGCGCGCGCACACACACACAAAAAAACAACTCGAGGAGGAAAGGGGAAGAGCAAAGTCGAGACAGCCTCCCGTGCAGCAGTAAGCAGCGCTCGTTTACGGCTGCACCCTCGACAAAAGGGTCGATCCCATTTCCCAAACGAGGCCTCTCACGTCCAGATCCGCGGCTTCCGCGGCTTCTACCCACCCACCCCCAACCCCGGCTGGCACCCACTTGGACAGATCGCCTTGGTCGATCGGCTCCTTCACCGCCACCGCGTCCTCGATCTGCTCCTCACTCATGTCTGGCGGCAGAAGGTCACAGAAGGTCACGGAACGTCCGGGGCACCAGGTGACGGGGGACAGGAAAAACAAAGAGGTGAGGAGGCTGGGAGAGGAAAACAGAGAAACCAGACATTGGTCATGAGGAGAGCGTTAAATCGAACGTACTGGAAACAAACCAAAGTGCAGGAGTCCAGATCTCACAGACGGGAACAGAACAAGGGACACAAGACGCAGCGGAGAACATACGGGAGAGTGCCCACCCCCCATGGAAGCTATAATCAGCAAAAAAGAACGCCAAAGGCATCGCAAGAAGGGCATCCGCATGTGTGTGCACACACACACACCTGCGAATCGCGACACTTCAATATAGGGCCCGAGCACAGGTCCAACCACCGCAACAGCTGCCGCCAGCCCAGCGGCCAGCACTCCGCCATCCGCGTCGTCAGGCAGCAAGCTGGTGCCCAGCGCCAGCAGCAGGGACCCCAGCGTCAGGGCCACCGCGCCGCCAAGCCGTACACCTGTGCACAGCGGAAAAGAAGGCAGACGATGTGTGACTGCGACGATTCGTGATGCGCGGCGCGTCATTCCATATCACAAGACGGGCATCTCCATGAGAATCATGTGAGTGATGTGGACTTGATAAGTCGGCTTGTATGTTCTGTGTGTGTGTGTGTATGTGTGTGTGTGCGCCTGGTCCATCTCACTCCGCCTCGTGGCCGCGAGCCGCGGACGTTGCCCCGCCCTCATCCAGGAGGCCTGAAACCCCCTCAGTCCAGTTACTGTCCCAAATGGAGCCGAGGTGCACCGCTCCCTCTCACGCCCCTCACCAGTATCCGCCGCCAGTCCAGCGCCCATGCGGTGCTGGGTGACGTTGGAGGGCCGGTCCGCGAGCACTACGGTGCCGCAGCCCACCGAGGTAGCGGCCTGGAGGGGAGGAGGGGCCGGAGGAGGTGAGGTCGTGGAAGAGGCCGTTGAAGGAGAGACACACGCACACCGAGTGAGGAGGAAAAAGACCGACTCAAGGGCCACGCGGGGCATCAGCGGCGGTGAAGAACAGAGAGCAGCGGAGCAGCGCTCTGCTTGCTCTGGATGCGGCATACACACACCTTCCCGCCGCCCCCCAGGGACTACCCTTTTGGGCCCCCTGGTTCCCGTCCATTACCTCGATCTGCTCGGCCGCCGCCATCCCCCCCCCGCAGCCACACCCCACCCAGCAACCCACCCATCCATCACTCACCTCCAGTGCAGCCCTCCAGGCGGCCCCCGGCTCCAGCCCCACTGTCCTTCCGGCCTTGGACTGGATGCGCGCGTAGGCGGTGCTCATCAGCTGAGCCAAAGTGTCCTGAGTGGGGCCGGGTGGTGGTGGTGGGGGTTTGGTGGTGGGGGTGGGGCCGGGTGGTGGGGGTTTGGGGGCCGGATTTTAAGGAATGTGCGCCGCTGCCACTGCCGCCACCGTCCGGTTGAGACCATGTGGTGATTGGACGGTCGTACGGATCCAGATCCTGAACACACGCGGTGGGGAGGTGGCCTGGAAATCCCAGGCCCTCCTTACCTGCACAACCCGCCTCGGCGGCTCGTCCTGCTTGACCGCCGCCAGCTCCTCCGCGGTCCAGGGCCGGAGAGCCGCCCTGAGGGAGTCCCGGGGGGAGGAGGGGAGGAGGGGGAGGTGGAAAGACGAACCACGAACGGAGGGGAGGGGAAGGTGGGGAGGATGGCAGCCACGGGCAGATGGGAGGGAGGGGAGGTTGGCAGCCACGGAGCCGGAGAACAGGGGGGACACACCTAGGGGTTCCACAACACCACATCGAGTAACCAGGAGCCAACCAGGACGGCCAAGACGCCCTCCCTTGAGGGATTAGAGCTTGCAGCGCAACGACCTGCACTGATCTCCGAGAACGGGGCGGCTGCTTCCCCCCGGCAGGAAAGCACCCACATTCCTCAACTCTTCAGACCCCGGACCCAACAGCACAGGCATCACGAGCCCTCACCTCACACGCGGCCACACGCGGCCTCCGGCGGTCGTGGAGGGGTTACCGGAGGTACCGCCCTCGCCCTCGCCCTGGGCCCCCTCCTCAGCTGCAGCCGCAGCTGCACCCAGTCGCCCGGCACGCATGCGATCCAAGGTCTCCTGGGGAATGAACATCTTCTTGCTGACCTGCGGATGAGCAGGTGACGGCGGTGACGGTGGTGACGGCACATACATTAGCTGCGTTACAGCATTGAGGATGCATGACCGAAATATTCAGCCTTGGGTACGGGTACACGTGCAGCGGCATGTAGCGGCGTACATGGCGGCAACACACCCGGCGCAGGGGTCGTACCACACAGAGGGAGCCACACGGGGGCCAACATGACATCCAAATCAATTTGCTCAGCCGCGGTGGAAGGGGGGGGGAGCTCCGCGGTTGTCGCACCTGGAACAGGCCCCGCTGCGGCCTGAAGGGCTCGATGCCGAACCCCTCGCCGCCAACCGCGGTGCCCTCCAGTCCTGCGCCGGCCGAGGGGGGGAAAGACGAACCACACACGATTGAAGCTGCTGCCGGGGTGGGACGGAGGTGGGGCGGAGGGCGCGCACCACACGGTACGCAGCCGCCCGGCAAGGCTTCCACCAGTCAAGTCAAACCCCAGTCAGGACACGGGGCCCCTCTAAGGATCCAGGGGGCGTCACTGCCCACCAAAGCCCTAGTATCCGTTTTGGCAGTGGTGAACAGGAGGCAGGGGCTTCACCACAACCACATAACCACACCACACACACACAGAGCAGCAGAAATGCGAGCACGCGTCGCCTACACCAAACCGCAGAGGCCAGTATTCAATATCACTCCACTATATCCACAACAATGTGCGATGTGGCACCCAACGCTGCCTTCTCCGGGGGAAAGCTGGTGGGCGGGGGAGAGATGAGCCACAGACGTGTGATGATGATACCAAAGATAAGAGATATGATGGTGGTGACCCCCCGGGGGAACCGCCTCCCCTTTTTTCATGGGGCTCCGGAAGGGGAAGGGGGAGGGGGAGGTGCGGCGCGGCGGGTAAAACGGGCAGGACGCAACGTGGCCAACAGGACCTGGGCCGGCCCATCAAAGCCGGCTAGCTAGCACGAGGGGGAGGGTCGCAGGGCGTGGTACAGCCAGCTGCCCGGCGACGTACCTGACATGTACGGCGGGTCGACGGGTTTGACCGCCTTAACGATCATCTCCACACGGCCCGTATCCACCCCCGTGAAGGACACCGTCACCTGAAACAGCGTGTGTTGGGGTTGGGGTGGGTTAGGTGGGGTAACGAGACAAACGAACTCCAACCCCATTCGGGATACCAATGGTCAAATCCCACCTTGTGTCCCGCCGTCAGCTCCATGACCCTGCTCCGGGTCCGCAGCAACGTCAACATCCCGCTGGTGCCCTTCCTTCCCTCGTCCGTGGCCTGGCGGGTGGGGTGGGAGTGGGGCCCACAGCGGCAGTGGTGGCGGCAGTGGTGGAAACCGCGGGAAAACGCGGCCAAGACCGGCAACAGGCAACCACCCAGGATCCTGAGACCGCCCTAAAGCCTGTTTTAGATATATATCTTGAGCCGAGGGCTCGTATTAGGGCGGTTTGCAGGTACGGGGAACGCACCCACGACCATGTAACACACACACACACATATATATAGTCATATAGACAGACAGATAGATAGGTGGATGAACGGATGAATGGATGGATGGGCAGATACCCACAACGCAGCGCGGTGGACAACGTGGAGGAGATCGGGAAGGAGAGGAAGTGTGTCCATGTGCCATCCGCGGCGAGGTGATGATCTCCCCCCCCTCCCACTACCGCCCACCTGAAGACAGATGTCCCGCAGAGCCGCCAGGTCGACGGGGACATTCTGCGGGGGCACCAGTAAAATAATTGTGGATCCGAAAGGGCGGGGAAAGAGGGGGAAGTCCTGGTTCGTTTGTCCTTTCTTCGGTATTTCCAGTCTTCACATACCACCTCACTCACACATGCACCCCGAAGGAGAGGTTAGTCTCTGCGGTTTGCCGCCTCCATCCCACCCGCCCCACCTTTTCCTCCACCCCGCCCACACGGTCCCTAGCCCCCCGCCGAACCTTGAGGCTGCTGTCCACTCGCACGCTCAACGCAGTGACCGCCGGCAGGCTCCGGGGCTGGACCTTGAACCGGATGCACCCCAGCGGCGGCACCAGCACCAGCGACCGCCCCTCACCGTCGCCGCCAGTGCCCGACGGCGGCCGCACCAGGAACCCGGGCGCCTCGTCCCGACCGGCGTTGCTGGCACCTGGGCGAGCACTGGCGAAGAGACCTGGGGGACGAGGGTGGAGGGGAGATAAAGACGAAGCACAGACGAGTGATGGAGGGGACGGGGAGGAGTGTGGGGAAGATGGAGATAATACTCTCCCCCGCCTTTCCAGCAAGCCTCGTGACGCTCCTCACCCTCTACTGCACCCCATTCACCCTCCGCGTCCCTCCCCCTTCCCCCTTCTACCCATCTTTGCATCTGCCGCAGCAGTCTTTCCTTGCCGCATCAGCTTCACCTGCTCGTGTGGTTCGTCTTTCCCCCTCCTTCCCCGCATCTCACCGGTACTGAGCAGCCGCATGACATCCCCCTCGATGTCCTGCTGGGTGACTGGCCGTCCAGGTCTGCACACCAGGAGCTCCAACAGCTCCTCCTCCCGCGGCCACACACCTCCCGGTTCACCTGCCTCCCCACCACCACTGCCGCCCACCCCCTCCCCAGGAAGACCCTCAATCCGGATCTGCAGTGCGACGGGTGGTGACGCGGTAGTGTGGCAAGTGAGGCACGCGAGGTGCGAGGGTGAGGGGAAAGCAACATTCCCCCTTTCTATCTTCACCACCGGCTCGTGCGCTAAAGGGCCGCGACCACACGCCACCAAGACATCCCGTCAGAGCGGCATGGGGCCAGAGAGAGAGGGAGACCGACCTTGCGGCTGTGCCAGATCTTGGGGGGCTTGGATGCGTCCTCCGGGTCCACCAGCAACCCCGACCGCTCCTTGCATAGCTCCACTGCCACTACATCTGGCTTTACCAGGCGAATGAGCTCGCCTACCTGCATGGCGGGGGAGGGAGGAGGTTAAGGAATCAAACAAAGACGTTGGAAAGACGTTGGCCCCGAATGCAGACAGGTGTGTATTGGTAGGCGTTTGCAGGAGCAGCGGGGAAGGCGGGGAATACCTGCCAAAGTTCACAGGAACTAGGTGAGCTGTGAAGACAAGATAATTGGCGTCATGTAGGTCATTATAGGAGGATTCACGGCGCGGTGATGCGGGGGGCACGCAGTATGTTGTAAGGCAAGGATTGACAATTACGAAGGAGTAGGTGGGAAGGAAACGCTGCGCACCTGCTCCACACTCCGTTTCGAGACGTGCGACATGGCCAGCAGGTACACCCGTGTAGTTCCATCTGGAGAAGTTGGGTTAGGGGCTTCCAGTAAGGCTACGTTGTTGCGCAGTGACGGCGGCAAAACCACGTTTGCGGGGACAGCCTGCCGACGGACATGGCGATGAGTGAGACACAAGTGCCAAACAAATCTTTCATGTAGATCGTTGCACACCTTCGAGGATTTATCAAGAACAGCGGAAGCCCTGCAGAGTAAGACGCCGTGCCCAGCCCGTGGAGGAGCGCCCGAACGGAACGCCTGCCGACAGCAGCGACCGGCGTTTGGTGCGGAGCATGGGGATCCGCCCTTCATAATGAAAATGTAGAGCAACTCTGAAACAGAAAGTGAAATAAAATCCTATGATCGTCGCAATCTTACAAAACGGCAAAATCCAAAGCGACGTATGCTTTCATCTGAGAAAGCTATACAGTGGCACAACCTCAGTTACATATCCAAGGCTCTCTGACATGCAGCATCATTGACTATTTGCAGGAGGAGATTGCTTCTAGACCTGTTGACGTACATTCCGTTATTTTCTAACCGCCGAGCCTTGCCACGGGAGCGCATATAATATAGTAAGCTTATGAAAGTAGTTTAAATACTTAACAGGACGGTTGCAATCCCTTTGCTAGTGGACGAGACACTGGAGGTCAACCCTGCATGCACCCAAGGTCGCTTGCATAAGCCTTAAAACTTCAATGGTATGCAGTGGACCACCTACAGCTCGCTCGTGCGACGGACATGTATTTTTCCTCGATTTTACGGAACTTAGTACGCGTAATGCTTTGGCGGAGGCGCATGAAAAGCAAATTGCGGACGTGCTTAATCTAGTGGGCAATGCAATGGGATACACAGGTGGTGTACGGCAGATGTGCGAGTTGATGGGAGGTGCGAGCAGATGCGCAAGTTGATGGAGATGCGAGCACGGAAGCCCGCGCATTAACCCAAGACTGACTGATTTCACTTATCTCCCGAGGTCATAACAACAAGGTCAGGAAGCTATACCTGGTTGGTGACCAGCAGGGGGGCAAGGTGGGGGGTTGCAAACAATAACGCTGTGGGGTCCATGGCAACAGACTGAGGACGTGGAGGGGCATTAAGGCGTGTCTGTCCCGGGTTTACTCCAGCTGCGTTTGCATGCAAGTGCACAGTGCACGTGCACAGACACAGCCCGGTGGCAAGGGCCTACCAGCCCTCCCAAAAGCCGCAAATGCGATCGATCATCCATGGCAGCGCTCTCTTGCGTCGGCAGCTCCTGCTTTCGGCTTTCCCGTCTCAGTGCGGTCCGAGACATCGAGAGCGGTGGGCGCCATGGCTCTTGCCTTACCAGGTGCAAAACGATGAATCCACGGGTTCAAGCACGCTGTTGTTGCGACATGCACATATACATACACAGATACACATTCATACATACACGTACACCACATGCAGGACTGACAGTATGTGTCGACCGAAGCACAAGCTCATGCCTTCATCTACTACATGTGCCTAATGGGTGCGCTCGCCATCCTACCTGATATCGATAATTATGAGCAACAGCCTCACGCGCCAAGAGGTTACATGCGCCCCTCACCTCCTTCCACTTCCTCGTCAACACAGGAACAGGCAAGGACTGCCACGCCTTCACGGCCAGATAACCCTAGGATACAAAGATAGTTCCAACGAAACGAAGCCAACCTTCCCGACAGCACGCCGTTGACCGCTCCCTGCACTGCGACCGGCATCTGTTCAATTGTCCTGGGCAAAGTCAGCGAAATCGATTATCGAGGAGCAATGACACGCGATGCTAATGGGAGCTGCAGACCCGACTCGCTCGCATCTGTGTGTGTGTGTGTGTGTGTGTGTGTGTGTGTGCGAGTCAGTCAGGCAAGCAAGCAGGCAAGGCAGGGCGCATATGCGGACACGCACTACAGGACTGCCCCGTTGGAACGACCACAGTCACAACACAGCAACAAAAGCACACCGAAAAGCTCTACAGCTGAAAGCACCGTAGGCTTCAAGCTGATTGTCCGAGCCCGATTAGGACCCCTGGGCGGCTTGTCCCCATGCACGATTTCATGTCTGCTATGACTTCATGTCGACACCCCATTCACCAATAAATCCACACGTACTATCCCCAACCGTAAGAAGCATCTGTTAGACTGCAGCAACTCAATCAAAAGTAGGCCCCAGCTCCACAACGTCCGGGAAGGGCGCGAGTCAGGGAGTGCGGCCCGGCCGTGAGCGACAGCCCTCTACCTCCAGCCCGGCCGTGCTCCTCGTGCTACTTTTACTCCCATCGCCAAAGAAAACAAACGCACTGAGAAGTGCGATCACCCCTCATGCAACACCCTTGCAATCTACAGCACTGTAGGTTAGTTACCGCGGTTACTGTTGTAAAGCAGACAGGCAAACGACTACAGCACGCAACCACACAAGCATCACATACTCGAACCAGTCCAGATACCTAGAGTGCAGCTCAGGTCAAGCGCACGAACGAACTCAGCACATACAACAGGCACACACACACCTACCTACCTACCATCACACGACAGAAAATTTCACACACGCGCGCGCGCACACGCACGCACGCCAAAGGGCGGCGATCCATTCTCCTACGCGGACAGCAGTCCAATCCCTACGGAGCGATTCACCAATCAGCAGCTGATTCCCCCGATTACGGCCCGCTCAGGCCGCAACAACAAGCTTCACAGATATAGAAGTAAGCGGCGATGTGAAGCGGTAAGTCGTCTTATTCATAAATAGTCAAGCGCAAACACGGCACACAGGCTGCTGTGCGTGGCGCGCCAGGACTCCCCGCGCTATGTGTGGCCCCCAAACGTGTAAACACACACGCGCCGAAGTTCACACCCACACCAAGCCTTTACAGTCCGGGCAAAAGTTCGCTATCAACCACTGCCGCCACATGCGGCCCACACGCAGCAAAATGCAATCGCCCTGTAAACCATGGAAACGACCTAACTTAGCTCATTAGATCAGGGCTGGCTTAATTTCCATACGGAATCTGCGGGGACTATATGGAGCCGAAAATGGCCGCCAACAACAGCCGTCGCAGGAAACGCCTAATCAGGGCTTACCCGACACCACGCGCACATCCCGTCCGCCCGCCCGCCTATGCCCATAAGCTACACATATGGCGTCGAACAAATCGTGCACCGACTCCAGAAACGTTGGACGTCTACAGCAAGACGTATGCTCCCGAAAATGTCGTTTGTCCCGTGCGACCCCTTTCACACCGTGCGGGGTGGAATGCCCCTTTCCTTCAATCTGCAGGGGATGGTTGCCCCTGATGGGGTGTCTTTCACTTTTGCAGGTTTTGATGGGCGAGATAGCGCGACTGCTTGCGCGCCCGTACGGCAGTTACATAAAACTAACACTACTTCTGCTACTTGTACTATTAGTGGTGAGGGCTTTTAAACATCACGGACGCCGCCGCCGCCACCGCCGACTCCGTTGTCCTTATCCAGCAACACGAACGACTCCGCCATCCAACACGGTTCGTTCGGGGGCCCTCCCTCGCTTTCTTTGGGCCTCACAGCGACCGACCGCGCACCCAGGGAGCGGGGAGAGAGAGGGGCTTGGGCCGGTTGCCTTCCTAACAGCCCCTCTTCCCTGGGCTATTCCTCCCAACCCCGCAGCCGCAGCGCACGCGGCAGCAGCAGTTGCAGCTATCGCGGAGCGCATGCAGACGTTCCCCCTTAACGTCCTACTTCCCGTGTCGACAACTCAGGACGCGGCCCGGTCCAGCCGACTCAGCCAAACAATACTGTGCAATCGTTCCTCCTTCCTCTTGGCCTACCTGGCCCTAAGTCACCCTCCTTCCAACAGCAACAAAGAAACAGCGTCCGAGGGCGAGAAGAGGGAAAAATGACAGCAAGGTACTCACAAGCTTGGAAGAGACACGCGACACGCGCATGAAGCTGCGGCCTAACCGGTCGGGGCCTGAGAGGACAAACCCCCGGAGGAACCCCAGCAGTATCCCGCGCTCTGCAAACCGCCGACCAGGCCAGACCCCACAGCCCAGGGAGCGAGCCCTGGCTGAGAGAGAGAGAGAGAGAAGGAAGAGAGAAAGGAAGAGAGACGAGAGAGAGAGACGGTGTGTGTGTAGCGGGTAATGAGGGGCGCGCGGGCTGCTGCTGCCCGGCTCCGTCGCCCCTCACCGCTTGGGACCAGGTGAGAAGATATCGGGGTTGTAGTCGTCGTCTTCCTCCAGCTCGTCCTCGCCAGGTGGGGCAGGTGCCACTCCAAACAGCTGCTTGTGCAGCTCCGCGTAGTTGACCTGGAAGGGGGAGGGGACGACATGCGGATAAACAAGGAGGAAGAGCTGACGGGGGCGGCATGAACCGGATGAGGTGGTCGGTGGGAACACGTGAGCAGAGAAGCACCGGGCACTGGGCCAGCAGGACAACGGCACAACTTAGCGGTTGGCAGTTGGTGGTTACGCAGTTGACTGTTGTACCCTAGACATGATGGCAGGAATGGGCGTGTGGCGCTGATTGCAGGGTAGATGGCAGTGAAGGGAGTGCGCGGGGAGCAAACCATTTGCAAGCCCCTACCTGCTTGCGCTGCCGCTTGCCCTCCATCACCATCTCCCCTTCGTCGCCCTCGCCGGCGGCCTCCTCCTCCTCCTCCGCATCCGAGCCGAGCTCGTCGTCCTCATCCTCGCCCAACCCGCTAAGGTCGGACTCCTCCTCCAGGTCCTCCATAGCGTCATCCGAATCCCCGTCCTCATCCTCATCGTCCTCCTCAGAGCCCTCTTCGCCCTCCTCGCCCTCTCCCTCCTCCCCGCCGGCTTGCTCGCTGTCACCATTGACGGCCATGTCGGGGGCGTCGTCTTGCTTGGATGCTCCACCGTCCCCGCCGTCCTCTTCGCCCTCGCCCTCGCTGCCGGCTTCACTTGGGGCTGCGCACATGAGGAGACGGCGTTTTGGACAGTATATCACACACCAGGATATGGGACAGCATCACCGCCACCACCACATCAGCCGGCAGATGCCTTAACCCAGATAAGGAGCGTCAGTATATGAGCGCATGTTGGCCGCTTTTTGAAAAACTATCCGGCACCAGCCTGATGCCAGGAAGAAGACTTTCGGTCGGATACAAGACATGCCATGCAATTTGAAGCCAAGCAAGGAAATGCTGAGATTTGTGCAACGGCACTCTCGAAGGAGGCCCTCTTTCTAGAAGGCAAGTAAGGCGAGTCTGATGACCCGACAGCACCACACACCCGCGGCGAAGTCCTCATCCTCCTCGTCCTCCGAAGGCAGGTCCTCCGCAAGCCAGCCGCTGGCCACGGGAGCCGCACCCGGCGGTGGCGGCTTAACGCTGCGCCGCGGCCGCCGCCGTCGCCGCCGCTTGTCGCCACCGTCGTCATCCTCACTGCCTGCGAATGAGCAACGAACCAACACCTAAAAGGTACAGCGAAATCAACCGTCAAGGCACTAGATGACAAAGAAAATATTCCCAGCCCGGGCACTCAGCAGCTGGCCGCTGTAAGGAAAGCGAGAGACCCTCCAGCCTGTTCAGCGGCGGCTATGTCGCGTACAGGTGCAACTCCCCCAAGGAGTCTGATGATAACAACACAAGGTGACGCAGCCAGCTAGGCCTGCAGCCTGTAGTCAAGGCGAGTGCTCGCGTCTGAACACAACAACACAACAACGCCCCTGACACCCCAAGGACGCAACGAGCATACAAAACAAAGAAACACAGGCGGTGAGGACAAAAGCGACGGTGGTAGGAAAGCAGCAGCGAAAACTCTCCCCGCTGTAGCCATTACAACATGGACCCGAGCACAGACGCCGACACCGACACTACTCGGGGCGGAGGAGAAAGGTCCAGTCCCACACCCTCCTTACCCCCCTCCCCACCAATCAAGGTCACACACCTCCAGCCCCCTCCGTTTCCGGCTCCCCTCCCTCGAGGCACTCGTCCAGCTGGTGAGCAGACGGCGGCAGGATGTTCATCCACGGCTCGTTGATGTCATACTCGATCCCAAACTCCTCGTACAGTATATCGAGGATATCAGCCTGCGGTGCCAGCAGAAACACCAGAGCATCCATCCATCCATCAATTCCTATCCACCATACCGAGAAGAAACGGCCCCAGATACCCACCGATATTTTAGCTGGCCGCTCCTGGATATTAGGCGACAGCAATTCAGCTGCTCATTTCTGCCTTCTTGTATGCGTTATCTCTTTCGCCCTACTTCAAGGCGACAGCGCCACGTATCCATATGCGACTACGTGGGGATTCATGCGACGCCGTGAGGGGGCCTACCTTGCAGTCGCAGGCGGGGCATAGCCATCCCTCGTCCTCGGGCAGTTTGGACACGTCCACTGGCGGGTCTAAGCAGTTTTGGTGGAAGGCACAGTTGCAGGGGCCATCGCACAAAATGACGTCGTCATCCTGCGGCATCGACCACCCGGGCAGAAAGACAGACAGATAGGCGGGGTGTTACACAGCCAGAATGACATGTAACATACATACATACATACATACATACGCAACTGCATACGGACGTATTCCTTTCTTGTAAATCGGAAGCGCACGGGGCTCTCCTTAAGCCCCTTTCGAGGGGTGCACCCAGTCCTAATACACACGCAGAAGCAAACGCGCAAACACGCCCCGGCAACGTAGACCGTATTCAGACTCCAGTTCGCGGTTGGCGGATATGTCAGGGTGTCGATATCAGCATTTGGAACATATGCTTCAAGTGACTTAGCTCCTTTGTGGCTTAGCAACTTGAGAGCATATATTCACAATCTATCACTGTTGCGCATCCACGACTTGCACACATGCGTATCGCACTCACGTCCGCCATCTCATAGCTGTAGCACACAGCGCAGAAGATGTGATGCTCCTCCAGTTCGCCCTCCTCATCAAACAGCTCAGCAGGTATGGACCGCAGACCCGGCGGCGCGTCACACAGCGCCAGCGCCTCACGAATAGCAGCACGGCGGCGCTCCAGCGCGACGCGGCTGCGTTGCATTTCGTATGTCAGCTGGACCTTTTTGCGCGCGCCGCCGCGCCAGCCCTCCGCCGCGTACACCGCCAACGCGTGTTCCTCCTGAGGGCTTGCAAGTAGGTCAGCAAGGGAGGGAGAGTTGGGTTGACGGGGTTCAGGAAGCAGCTACGTGTCCCTTGCGAAGGCCAAGACCTCTTACATGTCCTCACCTACGGACCTGCGGGTGGGGTGGTCTACATCTATATCTGGTGCGCTTTGCTACCCTCTTGGCAAAAGACAGACTGTGGCAACAACCTGAAGGCAATAAACCTTGAAGGCCTTGTGACCCGGTGTTGGAGAACTGATTAGGAAAGGGGAAAACATTCCTAACGAGACTTTCGGAAAGCCACCAAAGCCCACCGCGTGGGACACCGCCCACCTGCTTAATATGCTGCACCTGCCGTTTCACGCGGCGCAGCAGCTGCCTGTAGAACGCCACACTGTTGCCCTTCTGCGGCGCACTCGAAGGCGGTGGCGTGCCATTGTCGTTGTCATGCTCACCGTCCGAGCCAGCCTCGGACTGTCGTGAGGAAGGGGAAGACGCGGGGCCATGGCCAGGGTGATTGCGAGAAGTGGGAAGAGCAAGGCAAGTCAGGGAAAGCGTTGCGAGCCACCAGGGTAGCACAGGAGGTCTTCATGGAAGAAGGCAGCAGCAGTTACAATAGTGGTGGCACATGACATGATTCGGAGGTGGGCGTGTTGGGCGAAGTCGGCGCAGCGCGCGACCTGCGCTTTGTATAGTGAAGGACCGCATTTCTTTCCTTTCCTGAATAGGCACGCAATAGAAATATATTCTTATAGTGACGTATTTTCAGCGAGTAATTTTAGTATTGGCCCTGGCCTTCGCACCCTGTTCGAACGCTTTCTGCGCATGGGTAGGTCAGTCGGTGAGTTGTGCCACCACACCACGGTGCTGCCAGACCATTGAGGGACACTACATACAAAAATATACCAGGCCTCCGGACAAAAAACACGTCGCGACCCACAGCAAAAAACCGTGACGATATTCGGTCATCCCGCGCGCCATCAAACAGAGTATGTAATGTGCCATCTTACAGCTGACTTATACTTTAAATGCTTTGTAAGTCCTTAGGGCTAAGTGATGCCCGTAGAACAGGCTATGACGAAAATAACTTCGTAATGAGGTAGAGCACCTCACAGTCCACCCTCTCAAACGTTGCTGCCTGGCGAAGCAAACAAAAACTTTGAGCACAATTGAATACCTTAAACGGGAAAATTCGTTCGTAAAGGAAAGGGAAAGAAGTTGTAAGCCCAGCTCATCCTAACCTTTATAAGGGTGCAAATAAGAAATTACTTGTCGCCCTGTAATGTGAAGGCTATGCGAGGGTATACGCAAAACATACGTAAGGTTTTACGTATGTTTTATCGCCAGCTCCGAGCATTTGAAAGGTACTTTACCGTAGCCCGGTCCTGTTAATCCTCGCCTAAGTTATGATGGTCTCCCACATCTTGGTGTCGAGGCACAACCAGAGTTAAGGATATGGCCAGGCAGCTGTTCAGCCACGACAGCCTCCGATTCGCTACCGGTCCAACCTCTCGCCCGCTCTCCGTCCTAGATAGCAACTGTCGCTTTGTCCTTTACTCGCAAGGCAGAGCAAAAACCTGGTATCATGTTGGAGTTTCGCAGCGTAGGTTAAAACTAGCCTTGGCCGCTGAAGGGGAGACATAAGCTTGGTAGCAACCCTGTCTAGCGACCTTTTGATCTAGCTGTCGAGTCTATGCCTGCCGGCCGTTGATGACACCAACGCACTCGACTGCCATCTGGGTATCCTAGCCCATATTCCATACCTTATCACGTCCGTCCGCCAGCCGTCGCCGCTTCCTCTCCCGCCGCTGCTGCCGCTCGCGCTCGCGCTTCGCCGCCAATGCCTGCTCCCGCCGCTGCTGCTCCGCGGCGCCACCCATGGCCACTGACTTGACGCCGCCGCTCCCACCGGCGCCTGCTGGGGCCCATGCACCCCCTGAGGGGCCAGCAGGTGCAGCCGGACCTGTTGTCACTGCAGTCACCGCCACCGCCGTGGTGCGCACCGGCGCCTCCCGTCGCCGAGAAGTAGGGCCGATCACCGCCGCCGCCGCAGCGGCCAGCCGCTCTTCCTTCAGCCGCTGCCGCCGCTGGCGCTCCCGCTCGCGCTTAATCGCCAGTTCCCGCTCGCGCCGCTCTTCCGGAGTTTCGTCGGGATTTTCCGCACCTTCTCCCGCAGCGGCACGCGCTGTGCCAGCCATACGGCGGTTTCCGCCATCGCCACCGTCTGAGGCGCTCTCATTGCCGTCGCCAGTGCCATCGCCGTCAGCATCGTCGCCAGACTCCTCCGAGCCAGAACCCGTTGCCATGTCGTCAGAGCGTCGCGGCGGCCTGCGCTCCCTCTTAGAACGCTGCGGCGGCCGCTGCCGACCGGAATCATGCTCCTCACCACCATCGGCGTCGCCCCGGCGGAGCTCGCCCTCGCCATCCTCAGCGCCATCGTCATCATGGCGGTGATGGCGGCCCATGCCAGACGAGGTCGTGTAGTCGCTGCCGCCAGCAGCGGCCGCCGACGACGTCGGCCTCCCAGTCCCTGTCGAAACACCGCCACCGCCGCCACCATCACCGCCGTCTCCGCCTTCACCAAACTGCCGGGCCATGCGCTCCTGCTTAAGCCGAAGACGCCGCTGCCGCTCACGCTCCCTTTTCACCGCAAGCTCACGCTCGCGCTTCTCCGTCGGAGTACCATTGAACTTCTGGCGAGGCCGCTTCGTCCCTGATGGCGAACCGGCAGCTTCACCGCCGCTTGCACTGCCGCCGCCGCCGCCACCACCGGCGCCAATTCCAGCGCTCGTCCCTGCAGTGGCCGGCGCCGGTGCTGGCGATGGAACCATTGTCGGTGGGCGGCTAGGCGGCGGCAGCCGCACGATCGGGCCGCCGTTAGATGGCGGCAGCGGCGGCGGCAGGATGAGCGGTGGCAACCCTGCCAGCGGAATGATAATCGAGCCCGGCGGTGCCTTGATGCCCGCCAAGGCCGCTGCCGCCGCACTGAGTGCAAACGGCAGCGACTGCAGTGTCGTTGTTGTCGCGGCCAGGGGAGTGGGGGCAAGAGCGGGCGTTGGCGCCGCAGGCCCTGCCGCAGGCGGCAGCAGCTTCAAGTCAGGGGCCTTGCTCGCCACAACTGCAGCTGCAACCGCGGCGGGGCTGTTGGATTGCGCATTTTGCACACCGGAGCCGTTGGCGGTGCCGCCTCCACCGCTGCTCGCGCCGCCGGTGACAGCGTTGGCAGCCCCATCGCCACTCGTCGGCGCGGTGACAGGCTTGGCCTCGCCCGCCTCCGACGGCGCGCCGTCCTCCCCGTCGCCGGTCAGCAGCGCGTCTTGGTCCGAAGAAGCCAGCTGTGCCGTCGCCGTTGTCGCCTCTTTCTGCTGCTCCTCCCGTCGCATCCGTAGCTCCAGGCGCTGTCGCCGCTCGCGTTCCCGCCGCCGCGCGAGCTGCTGCTCACGCCTCTCCTCCGGCGTCAGGGCACGGTTGCCGATGCCAGCGCTACCTGAGGCATTGACAGTGGCAGCGGCGGTCGCAGGAACTGGCTCCACCACAGGCACAGTGGATACTTGAGGTAGGGCTGGCGCCGCCGCGATCATGGCAACAGGTCCAGTAGCCTCCGGGTCAGGTAGGGGGATCGGCGCGTCCCCTGCAGGGCCTTGCTGCGGCTGCGGCTGCTGTTGTTGCTGTGGCTTTTGTAGCTGTCCTGCTTCCCGCAGCTTGCGCAGCTCCGCACGCCGTTGGCGCTCGCGCTCGCGACGCCGGGCCAGGTCTCTTTCGTGGCGCTCGGCAGCGGACTGCTTGGCCTGCGCCTGCTGCTGCTTCTGCCACGCGTCCGCCTCCAAATCGCCATTGGCGTCGCTGTTGCCGACGCCGGCGGCTGTGAGGACCTGCGCGGCAGCGTCCTGTGCGGCAGCAGCGATGATGGCTGCTGCGATGTCACCGGCGGCCGCGGGGACTTGCGGCCCAATATCGCCATTCGGCTGCTGCTGTTCCTGCTTCATTTTTAGACGCTGCTCGGCGGCCTCGCGGCGCATCCGGCGAGCCGCTTCACGACGCCGGGCCAGGTGCGCCTGACGCTTCGCCTCCGCCTCCTCTGACAGCTGGGCCTACAGTTTAGCCGGTGGATGGCAAAGGGAAGGAAAAGGGTTAAGGCACGTACGCATCAACACAGGCATAGAGAGCCAACGTCGTCTCCTAGATACTGAACTATGTGCTCGCTGTCCTCCTGGGCAGTAAGGATGCTCGCAGCCGGGGCACAAGGCACAGTCCGCTTCGCGCCACGTAATGCATGCAAACCTTCGTTGCCGGTCGCCACCCAGCGGGAGAGCCAGCCTCGCAGCCAATCCCTTCCCCCATTCACTCGGACAGTGCCAATCCCACACCTGCCCAGCGTCCCAACCGACCGGCGCCTTGCCCTGCTGCTGGCCACGACGGCTGCTCCCGCTGGGGCGTGCCGCAGCGCGCCGCAGCTCCCCATCGGAAGCTTCTTCTTCCTCATCTTCCTCCTCCTCATCTTCCTCAGCTTCCTCCTCTTTTTCGCCCTCCTCCGCCTCCTCCTCGCTGTCTTCAGCCGCGGCGCCCTCCGCACCGTCATCCTCTTCGCCCGATGGTGTCGGCCGCCGCTTGGGCGGCTTCGCGCCGCCGTCAGAGCCGCCATCAGAGACCTTGGCGGCCTTTGTCCGCAGCGCTGCGGCTGCCGCCACTGCACCACCGCCACTACCACCGCCCTGGTGGCGAGAGAATAGCGGCGCGTCTGCAAAACGCGCCGGCACTGGCGCAGACCGACGCGGTCTGCCGCCAGCCGTTAACGCCGCGACGTCCACCGCCTGGCGACCGCCACCAACGCCGCCTCCGTTCGCTTGGGCCACAGGCCCTGAGGGCTCGGGCTTTGCGTGAGCAGGATCGGGTTTAGGAGGCGCTGCCGCCTTGGCAGAAGCTGTGCCGATGACGTGCGGCTGCAACTGCAAATGCGCTGGCTTGGCAGCGAGGGCCTTAATGCTGCTCAAGCCGCCTGCCAGTTCCTGCTTGGCACCGCGGGGGTGCAGGGACGAATCTGGTTTCGGGGCCGACTTCAGTAGTTGCTGCTGCAGCAATTGCTGGTGATGTTGCTGTTGCTGTTGAAGATGCTGCTGCATGGCGCTGACGTTAAATGGCTGATTTTGCTGCTGGATGGGCTGTATGTGCTGGTGCAGGAGAAGCTGCTGCTGCTGCTGAGCCTGCAGGCCTGGATTGAACTGGTGCAGTTCATGGCCATGCGACCGGGTTGAACCAGTCGGTCCTGCTGTCGTCACGGCACCTGAACCTGCACCTGCAGCAGCGGCCAGCCCACCAGGCCCGGGATCGGCGACAGCGCCACTATCAGAGTAGCGAGCAGCTATAACCTGCTGCCGGTGCGACCGTGCACCTCCGCCGCCAGAGCCCGCCAAGGCATCCGTCAGCGCACTCTGCGAAGCAGTCAGCCCGGCAGCTGACACCGTCCCAGCGGCTGCCAGCGGCTTGAAAACTCGAGGGTCGTTCGCTGCCAGTGTTCCGGTGCCCCCCTGCGTAGCCATCAGACCAGCGGTACCCAAACCCAGCGACCCTACCGTTGCCAGTTTCTGCTGTTGCATTTGCTGGATTTGCGGTAGCGCCATGCCGGCCCTGTTGTCCGGAACGAAATGAGGAAAGAAAGCCGCCGGCTGCTGTTGCTGCTGCTGCTGGTGACCGGGTGCCCCAGGAGCAGGGATAAAAGTACTGTGGTTTGATAGCTGCGCAGCTTGCGGCCCAGGGGCCCCGCCCACCTGGCGCAATGCGGCCACTTGCTCTGCCGCCGTTAGCTGCACGCCACAGACACCCATGCCGAGAAAGCCCCCGCCAGCAGCTCCACCGACTGCGTGGGTAGGCACCATCGTATGTGCACCCGGCGCAGCACCGGCACCCGTGGCATACGGCAGCGTTGACATTGGAAACCCTGCCATTCCGGCGGGCAGCAAGTCCGCGGTCAGCTGGCCAGCTGGCCCAGAGCTCCAGGGAACGCCCCCCAGCGACCCTGCACCCCCGCCCAGCAGCCCCGTTCCGTTGTAGTACATCCCCGGAGCAGCAGCCGTGTGTGGGTGCTGCGACACAAGACCAGCAAGTGTAACTGCGCTTGGCAATGCGGGGCTCGTGCCCCTAACGGCGGCGGTGGCCGAAAAACCTCCACTCATGATGAAGTCATCGTCGGCGCCATCATACTGCGGGATGATCCAGCCAGCGGCTGAGCCCATCGCACAGTCGCCACCGCCGGTGCGCGGTGTGGCGTCCCCACCATGAGAGCCATCATCCTCGGAGTCTGCGGCACACGGCCACGTGCCATCTCGGGGCGTAGCATCTGGCAACGGGGAGGGATCATCACACGCGTCCACCGCTACGCCACGGCGCTGCTCCGTCACTGGATGGCACTGCACGAGCGATGCCGCGCCTGAGCCGCCTTCACTGCTGCCGGCACCTGAACAAACCCAGTCCACTTTACTACCCAGCACAGCATTTGACGCGCGATTTGCACAAGTACCAGCAGTAGTAGTGGTAGCAGTAGCAGCAGCCGTGGCTCCCTGTGTTGTCATCGCCGCCACGGCCTCCTCGCTATCGCCGCCGCACGGCATCGCGGCAGGTACGGGCCGGACACATCCCAGGCGTTCTATTGCAGACCAAGCGCCGCGGCCCGAAGCCGAAGCGGTCCTGCCCTCCCCGTCACCGCCGGGCGGCAGCGAGCGGTCACGGCGGCTGCGGCCGCGGCCGCGGGCGCCGCCGTCGTCACCATACCTGCAGCCACCGTCTGCAACAAAGCCGTCGGCCGCAACCAGCCCGCATTGGGCCGTCGTGCTTGGATATGCAGGTGCAGAAGCATCGCGAGAGTGGCTGCCTGTCGCTGCATCGCAATCGCTGACATGGAGCCCGTCAGCGGCGCCGCCGCGGCCGTTGCTGCCTTCCTCCGTGGACCAATACCCGTTCACGTATCCTGCCATCCCATAGGATAGGTCGCCGCAGGGCCCGCCGGATCTGCCTGGCGGAAACCCTCCCGGGCCCATGGGACCCCCCGGCACATTGGAGCCAGCGCCGCCACCCATGCCTCGCTGTCCCTCGTAGTAGAGGCCGCCGTAGCGGTTCCCGTCGATCCCAGCATTCCCTCCTGGCGGATGGACGCCGCCGCCACCGTCCCCCCCAGGCCTCAGTCCTGATGCCGATGTCATCATCGCCGGTAGAGACATCTGGCGAGGGGCTCCATTGCCCGACGATGCTGCCGCTGCTGCAGCCTTAGCCATGGCTGCCATCGCAGCTGCTACCACTGCATCCATGCTGGAGACCTGCTCATTTGGCAAGTTGTAAGCGCCCAGTCCGCCGCCGCCGCCAAGCTGTGCGCCATTGGGCAACTGCAAGTTGATGCCGCCGCGATAGGCCTGCATGGAGCCTTGGCCGACAGCTTGCTGTTGGTGGTGATGGTGTTGCTGTTGCTGCTGCTGTTGGTGGTGATGGTGCTGTGGCGTCTGCTGCTGGTGTTGCTGTTGCTGATAGTGGTGATGGTGTTGTTGTTGTTGTTGTTGCTGCTGGTGGTGGTGATGATGGTGTTGCTGCTGCTGCTGCTGTTGATGTTGTTGTTGCTGCTGCTGTTGTTGCTGTTGTAGGAGCAGCTGCTGATGGTGATGATGGTGCTGTTGTTGCTGGTGGTGATGATGAGATTGCAAGGAGGAAGGTTCTTGGAGCTGCTGTTGCTGCAGCTGCAGCTGATATTGCTGTTGCTGCCTCCGCGCCGCAGCCAAGCTTGCCGCTTCCTGCGCCCACAGGTCGTCAGGGTTCCGTCGTGACTGTGGTGGTCCACCGCCCACACCGACACCCACCATCGAGGGATCTATACCCGTCCATGCTGCAAGAAGCTCATTCGAAATGCCACCGCTGCCACCAGCAGCAGCGGCATTGGCCGCAGCAGCAGCAGCCGCCTCCGCGGCGTCCCCAGCTGGCTCCTCCACCTCGTCGGTGCCCTGCACTGCCGCCAGAACTTCCGGCGGGACGGAGTCTGCGGGTACCAGGCGGTAGCCGGGCGGATAGTCCTTTCGGGGCCGACCGCGGCCACGCCGAACGGGCATTCCCTGGGGGTCCAGAAGCACCATCCCCCTCGGGTACGGCACTGCGCCAGACAGCAACCCGCCGCGCGGCGGGGCAGGCTGAGTCTGCGGGCACACGGCACAACACACGAAAAATAACGAGCTTCAAAAGAGTGATAGCTTGTAGATAGAATCAAAAGGTGGAAAGTCCAGGAAGCAAAGAAGGTATGGAAGAGGCCGGAAGGTCGAGGGAGGGAGGGAGTCAAGGAAGAAGGGTAAACTTCTGCTCATGGACGCACCTGCTGCGGCTGCGGTTGTGGTTGCGGCGGAGGCTGGGGCTGCGGAGGCTGTGGTGGTGGCGCCTGAGGGACGTTCTGCATGTTCCCCATGATGCGCCGAGCGTACGGCAGCTGCTCGGCAGAAACAACGGCGGCCTGTTGCTCGTAGTCCACGTCACCGGTGGCGTGCATGGGGATGCCCAGAGGCTGAGCTGCCATGGGTCTGAAGGGCTTCCGCTTGCGGCCTCGGGTAGCAGCCAGCATCGCGGCTGTCGCCGGATCAGCGCCATAAAGCGCATCCGAACCCGATAGTCCCTCACCATCCGCAGGGTCGTATCCTTCATATGCATCATCCGCATACGCGTCGTCTGCGTAACCCATTCCAGGTGCCAGCGGCCCTACGCCTGGTCGAGGCTTTAGCCCAGGCGGCCGGCTGCGCCTCTTGGGCGGAAGCGGATTACCATCAGAATATTCGCTGTAAGGCGGTTGGTCTCCAATCGGGACGTGCGCAGGATTCACAGCATAGCCCGGAGGAAGCTGGCTGACGCGCGCTTGTTGATGAGCCATATAACCCAGCATCCCTTGGAAGGGTCCCATAGGCGCCTGATCATAAACTTGCTGACGATACGTGGGTTTTACATCGTCCACGGGTGCCGCCATAAGCGCTTCTGCAGAGGCATACTGCTGTGTTCCGTCATGGCCGCGTGGGGGCTGTGTCTGCAATACCCTGTGTCTCTTGTAATCAGGCTCCTCAGGAGGTCCTGTACGGTAAAAATAAAGGGAAGAAGATGGCATTCCAGTCAACGCTAGGCATAGCTTGCCACGCAAAACGTGTCTCGAACGCCCGTGAAACAAATCAAGCGCCGCAATCATGCACGAATCCCAGGCCCTCGTATTTTGAAATTCATATGAAAGTTGACTACAGAACGCAAGGGAAATGTGAGACCCGGTACACCACGACGCGCCGATGTTCTCAAGGCCGAGATGCCGCTAGGATAGGCAAAAGTAAAAGGCTCCCCGTAAAGCGCGAAAGCTCAAGGTCTTCAGGAGCAATGGCAATACCCTCAATGCCCTTGCGAGCAGAAGCACATACTCGGCGTAGAACCCAGCCCTTACGCACCCTCGCGGAAACTTTGGGCGTATAACTCCATGGCTTGGCCGCCAAGGGCACGCATGAGATTAAGATCCATATTAAAAGCCTTTTCAGTGCTTGCACTGCCTTAACCTTCTTAGCCTTGCATCCCGCACTAGTACAAAAGTTTCCGGTTCAACTCCATACAAAGCATTCTGTATTGTACGTATGACGCTATTCATTTAGTGTTTGTTGCGAGACCTTATTCGGCCCCGTACGTGGCCGACTTGGTGGTGTATTGCACGGCGTGGGGGGCCCGAGATGGCTGCCCATCAGCTCTGAACTTCTTCAGCCGCTCCATTTGCCCACAAGTCTCATTGCAATCCCCTCATACTGACACGCCTGTTGGATTAGCAATGCTATTGAGAACATGCGGCCTCTGGGAAGGGGTGAACGGGGTGAAGCGTGTGTCAGTGTCCCCAAGCTTATTGCTTCCTTTCCTTTTTCTGCATATCGCTAATTATGAAAGGCTTGGGTGAAACACATGACTTGGAGAACGCACGCGGCACGCACGAGGGAAGATAGCCGCACCACCCAACGCACAATGGTGAAAATGCACTTCCGTGGCAGTTGCTCGTCAGCATAATGTAGTGAGAAATCAAGAGCAAGGAAACGAAGCGCCTGGATCCCAGAACTCTGGATAGAAGCGATGCGCTGCTGTACGGCTGCGCAACTATCGGGGATATTCGTCTATCCTGTAGAACGTGTAGTTCATTATGCATAAACGTGTGTGTATTAAATGGTTACGCTATAGCTTAAAAAAACGCTTAGCCGAGTGTTCTTTTTCTGTTACTCGTTGGCGCACGATTCAGCGCGGCGGCTGGGAGTTTCTTCCTCACTTGCCTACCTGTTGTATTCATCAAAATTATTTTCAACTCTTGGATTTGCTAGAACGACTGAGCAAATTGCGTTGACTCCAGTCACAACGTTCGGCAACTAATATGTTACCTCATCCCGTATGGACATGCTCAAATGCTAATAGATGCCATACCTCTAGCGCATGCAGTTATGGTCCTTCTACGGTTGGCATGTACAGTCCGCAACACAGGGCAAACAGCAGTCCGCCCGTGCGCCGCACGTCGAGGGCACGCAGCCAACGATTATCATTTCATGGTCGGGCGCCCATGTCAGTACTTAGTACACATGTCACTCATGAGGATTCTGAACCTCTTTTGCAAGTCAAGCGTCAGGTCAGTCTTCACGACCCAAAACAGGTTCGCTTGCGCAATTCTGTAGGATTGGTTGCGTTTTCGCAGGCCAGTCCTCTTCGGCTCCTGTGTAATGCACCCGTGGGAGGTGATCCGCGCCTCCTCCTATTTCATTCCTTCACACGTTTCTTCCTTTTTTCCCCCTATCCCTTTTTCCACCATACTTCCATGGCAGACATCAGCCCCACGGCCACGGCTGCAGCGCGCTAATCCGCCAGCACCGCCATACCATCGGGAACCGCATCAACCTTTGCAGCCGCAGCAGCTCCCTGTAGCGGTCGCAGGTGGCCCACGGGTCGGTGCCGCGGCTTCGCAGCCCTGGACGGCGGTTCAGGCAAAGGATGCGGTCGGCTCGGCAGGGCCATGGCACAGCACTAAGGTGCTTGCCCCTGCAGGTGCAAGTCGCCAGGCGTCTGGACAGCAGCAACAAGCACCTCTCCCGCCGCCGCAGCAAGGCTGTGTCGCAGTTGGGGCCGCCTCCCCACAGTCCCGCCACACGGGTTTTCCGTTGCGTACTGGTAAGAACAGAGCACGGAGGTCCTCGCGTGCTGCACAGCCAGCCAGTGCTGGAGGGGAAGGGAGGGGGACGTTTTCCAGTGCTGGCAGTGCTGCCTATGCCGGTGGCTAGCCGTGCGCGGGCAGTGGCGCCGTCGCCGTTGCTACAAAGGGTGCTGGCAGCTGAGTTTCGACGCGACTTGCGACGACCCGATCGTTGCTCACCGTGCCCACGGTTGGCAGGAGAGCCTCTACGCGGCACGCGCATCCAGGCAACATGCGTGCACCTTTTCGCGCCTTCATGCCAATGTTCTCTAGCATGAAAAAACACGCGTGTCGGTGGTTCCCCAGCGCTGCGAAACCGCTTGCCACTGCCATCAGCCTCGCGCATTTCCCATCTTTCTTCTCGTATGCACAACCACGCGTCCCGTCCACACAACCCCAAACCTGCATTGCAGGACTCGCGCTGACGTGGCTAGGGACAAACTCGGGCACCCCTACCTTGGAGCGCAACGTGAGCTGTACACTTGTACGGCTGCCCGGTGCCGTACAGATGGTGGACTGCGGCGAAGGCACGCACCGTCAGCTGCTGTCACTGGAGGGCTCTTTGGATCTGGCGGAGATTGACGGGTGAGAGCGCTAAATGCACGGAACGAAGCGCGGGAGGATGACTTCGCGAACCCAGGCATTACCTGAGCGCGAGGGCGACCTGGGGAAGGGGGCCCTGGGGTTTCGATAGCTAAGCTCTCGTAAGCACAAGTTTCCCGTCCCTCGTCTGTAGATGGTGGTTGTTGAGTGTTGCCTTCGCCCCGCCCCGCCCAGCGCCATGTCATAAAGCTTGGAAAAGGAAGCATGAGTTGGCATGAGAGTTTGAAAGAGTAGAGGCAGAAGCGGGCGTTGCAGTTGGCACGTGCGCGAGTGCGCAGAACCTGCTCGATTAGGTGGGCTGGATGCCGGGTATTGGCATGGGGTATATTATCATAAAGGGCTTCACAGCGGGTGCGAAAAAGTGTCCCGGGGCTGGCCTGAGCTACGTGGCGGCGCGGCGAAGCCCAAGTAGTTGGTGGAGGGATGGGAGGTGTGGGAGATAAGGGGCCAGTGACCGCTTGAGCAGAAGTGCGAGTTTCGTTGGGGAAGGTACTATGTAGTGTGCCGGCACCAGTTATTGCCGGGTGAGTCTGGGGTCAGCTCCGCCGTGTCCAGGGACTAGGAATGCTAGGTCAAGCAGTACCGCCTGCATCAAGTACTGCATCCAGTGTTAGCGCTGGGTACCGCTGTGGTAATTGCCGTACCCAGGATCTTCATCACGCATCTCCATGGTGACCATTGCTTCGGCCTGCCGGCGGCTCTAGCAGTGCTGGATCGGGCCAAGGCGGCGGGACAAACCGACCCAGCACGGCAGCGGCATCACGTGTACGGCCCGCCGGGACTGGCGGTGAGCTGTTTGCGGATGAATACTTTGATGGGCGAATGGATGGGTGGACTGGCGAGTAGGAAGCCGGGATGGCGTTCTTGTTGCGCCACCTGGGGAACGGACGGAGCTGGGAAACCGCCAGCTTTCGGGAGGAGGGCTAACATGGGGAAGGGAGGGAGGGAGTTCCAACCCCGATCTCCATCCTTTAAGATCTAACCCAAACCATGGATGTTGACATGCTCGAGACGTGCTCGATTCGCGCACAAACTTCCTTATATCTCCCGACGTCGACTTCACGATACTCGCCTGGTGCCCTCCCTTTCCTTTCGCCCTCCTTTTCCTTTGGTTGGCGGTACGCGGGCACAACACAGGAGCTCGTGCGTGTATCCATACTTTCTACGGGCCTTTCCCGGCGGCTGCAGCTGCCAGTACTGATTTCGGAGCTGGTCTGCTCGCCCGCCGCGGCGCACCCACCACAGCCGCTGGCGCAGGCGTTAGGGCAGCAGCGGCGGCGGCGCAACGGCGATGAGCGCGACTGCCATGGTGCTGGTGACAGTGGCGTGGAGGTGTCACTGCAGCGAATAGCTGCTCGGCGGGTGCTGGATGCGCCGGAGCTGGCGGTACGGCGGGGACGCGTTGGGAGGGAGAGGCAGAGGTGGTGACATATTGCGTGTGGGATACGGCCGAGTGCAATTTATTATACCAGTGGCTTGAATGGGGTTGAAGTTTTCCGGGCCCGACCCACTTTGCCCCCATACCCCTCCCGCTCGTCGTTTGTTGACCTTACTCATGTGTGCAGGCTGCCGTACAGGCCGTACAGTCCCGCGTCGCGGCCCTGGAAGAGATCTGGTCTCCACTGCCGCGCTACCAGCCGTACGGTCAGCACGGCCGCAATAGCGGATCGCAAAATGTCTTAGATAGCGAGGTTTTAGAGCTGACGAGCAGCGCCGATGAGGACGCGGACGAAGCTGATGGTGGTGGCGGTGCTGGTGGCGGTGCTGGTGGTGGAGCGCCGTTTCGTTTTGTCGCTGCCGAGGGCCTTTTTTGGGAGCTGCCAGGCTGTGCAGGGTTCCGTGTGCGGGCGGCGCAGCTGCAGCATCGGGTGCCTTGTTGGGGCTACGTATTCGTGGAGGGGCGGCCGTATGAGGAGGGAATGCGGCGGAGGAAGGTGGGCGGGGAGTGGGACTGAGGGGCTGGATGGGCACGTGGGGTGCTGAACCTGACACAGACAGTGGACTTGTCCGCCCACCGCCACCCACTTGCGTTGTGTTACTTGCGTTGCGTATGGGGGACGGCAGTGTGTGGGACAGCCGTTCCCATACCTGGGTTCCCCTGCGGCATCATTCAGTTTTCTACAGGGCACATTGGCACCTCGGCACGCACGTCCTCTCTGTCGCATTGCGCACCCCTTCATCCCTCGGTTCTCATGGCCAAGTCTCAAATGTCCACTCCTCGTCTTGCCCTCCGACGGCAAGGCTCATCACTCCTCCAGCCCCCGCTTGGGTAAGTGCGCAATCTTTCACCGCGGGACCAGCGGCCCGTCTTGCTTCTGGCGCACACATTCGCCAATGTGCTCAACCAGACCAATGTGTCGCTTCAGTCACTGAATTTCAATGCCCTGACCGACGGTTGTGGCTGATGTCCGGCGCATATGCAGGTGGTGGTGCTGGGCGACACGGTCTCCTCACGGCCCATCGCGCCGCTGGCCGCGGGCTGCGATGTAATGTCGCATGAGGCTACCTTTGCGCGCGGCATGGAGGCCAAGGCGCGCATCGCGCAGCATAGCACGGGCTGGATGGCTGGCGCTTTCGCGGCCGCGGTGGGCGCGCGCAGCCTGGTGCTGACACACTTCAGCGCACGATACCGCGAGGGACCGAGGGTAAGCGTCGCAACTAGGTGTGTTGGCCCTTGAAGTGCAGGGGAAGGCGTGCGGACGTCAAAGAAAGGGAGATGCGGGGAGATCATGGGGAGCGCCGTTTGTACTAGGTTCCCGGCCATAGTGCGCCTGATAAAACCCACCCACGTGAAATATCTAAATCCCACAATTCCAATCCACATTTGCGATCCCTTTTCGCGTGCCGCCCGTTTTCGTGCATGATATCTCACCGGTATGTAGCTCTTATTTTAGGGACCTAAATAAGGTCCCTAAGCCACGGAACACCTCCCCCTTTTCTCCTGTTTTGCAATGGCGTTCTAGGTTTTAGCCATGGTTTATTCCCGGATCCTGTTTTCCACAATCGTATGCCGTATGCCAGGATGTGGACCTGAGTCGCTCCTCCAGGGCCTCGGGACAGCAGGAGGCCGAGCAGCAGTCTTGGGCCGTAGCGGGGCTCCTCAAGGAGGCTGCCGCCACGTATGGTCGGCCCAACCACCTTTTCGCTGCTTCGGACTTCTACACGCACCACGTTCCGCCGCGGCCGCTGGCGGCGTCGGCAGCCGGCCTACGGGGCACCGTAGCGGGCGGGGATACGGAGGGGTTGGGCGAAGGCTCAGACGGGGAGACGGCAAGCCGGGAGGTTGCGACAGGGCCCCGTGGGAGGGTGGGCCCGAGCGGGGGCCATGTGGCGCGAGGGCGGATCTTGAGGAGGGCAGTTAGTGAGGGCCGAAGCGCTTGACCCGCATTGACCTGGAAGTCAAAGCCCACAGGCATCTGCTGGACCCCGTGCTATGTGTTGATGTGGTGCGCCATGCTGTGTTACGGCCATTTCATACCAAGATAACAACTACTTCAACGATAACATGGGCTGACGGGACACGGATAAGCCAAAATGATTCCTATAGTTAACAAGAGTCTAGCCAGATTGCAACACAGCCGGGGGGTCCTGAATAGATTCGAATAGAAGGAGATTGCCAAAAGCCGAAGCTGTGAGCAGAAGGCTAGCAATCCCGCGAAACTATTCGTAACGTTTCATCTTAAGCTTGGTCGTAAGCCTGGCGAAGTTGACGACGGACGACCTCAGAAGTACGGCAGTCCAGCGGCTTCAATGCCCAGCCTGCCAGGGTTGAGAACAAACCGATATGCTATCTAACTTTAAACCTTATACAATCTTGAAGCTTGACATATAGGTATTGTCAAAAAAAAAACAACCCTGCACTTCGGTATCCACCTAAACAACTGAGCTGTCGACATCGGAGCCAAGGCAAGTACGATGATGTTGATTTAGTGCGGATTACATTTGCTAGCTTCCAGAGTTGTAAGCTGCTTACTCCTGCCACCCGGCGTGCAGCCATGCCCTCGAGACTGCCATCACCTCCATCAAGCATGGAAAAAACACGCTCACGGCGACCTCTTGCGGTGATCACCAATCTAAGTCCTAATTGTGGAGTGCAGCAGGTGCGCCGAGGAGCCATCGTTCAAGTGTCTTGGCTGCGGCTTGGGCTCTTGTTCAATTGTTAACGGGCGTGCTGTGTACATGTAAATATTTCAAGAGTAATTTAAAAATGTGTGTGCACCTATTGTCGGAGCTGCAAAGCACAGCAAAGCAGCACCGGTGCGTGCATAGCATGCACACCACGAGAGAGTTGCAACTTAGATGTACCGTGCAATCATGAGCTGATGTTTGCTTGCCCTCCTATAACTTATCTTATTAGTAATTCTTTGGTTCGTGGCCATAACGCGCGAGGCATCCTCAGAACGGTACAAAGCACAAGCCGGAAGTTATGTGGCAGATGCTCGTCAGCAACACGAAGGTTATTAGCCACCTCAAAGACGATAGGGAGGTCCTACTGCAGGTGCGGACATGGTGGCGGCGGGGCAGATTATGTGGGTCTAAGATCCACAGGTTGTGGTAATTATGTGCAGCCGTGCTTACCCTCGCGCTTTATGGCCCTGCGTCCGTATCTGTGTCGGCGTCTGCTCCCATTCCATAAGCTAAGTACATGCCGACACTCAGCAGCGTAAGCAACAACTGATGCACCCACTCTAAATTCTTACGGCAGCATTGGCCCCAACCGGTTCACAGGATCTTCAAGTTTTGCAGGCAGAGTGTAATTCCTTGCGCGAGGCAGATAGTTTGAAGACAATCGAGCTCAAGGAGGCATACGAGCGCATCGCACAGCTCGAAAGGATGTGTGATGAGCTATCGTCTGGCCTCCACAGGGCTTTCGTCCAGCACGCCGAGACCATCAAAAACGTGCGTTGGGTGACTGTTAATACTTAGCTAGGGAAAGAGGACAACCGGGGGTTACCAAAAGGGGGACTTCTTATGACTGCTGATTGAGTGCACGTGAGGGCGAATGGATTGTTACACGGCAGCTGCTGCGCGCATAACCCCGATTTCGGTGTTCGAGAGAGAACCCATATGAGAAACTATCAAGACGTCTTGCACTATAACGAAGGCTCTGGCCTACATCGACTAGCCTGCAGTTGTCACGCTCTTTCTGATTCTTAATGTACCGTGGGTGGATTGCTAAGAAAGGTAGGATGGTAACGGTAACGGTAAATCACAGGGACGTTTCGTGTGCTATTAATAAATACGCCTCTCCTGGGCTTCTTCCCAGGTGCAGGTGCTGGAAGCTCAGCAACATGAGACGTGCAACCCGACTGTGAGCGGACGGAGCACCTCGATCGATTTGGGTGGTCGCGAAAGCCCGAAGAGCATCTCGGATATGACAGAGGCGGATGCAGACCGGCTTCTGGTCACTCTTAAGGCACTGCTGCTCACGCCTAGCAGCAGCGGACAGCGGACAGTAGATGGGTCAAGACTCGCGGGGATCCGCTTCCACAGGAGGCTGCCCACGGCTGCAATCCTCGTGTTCAGGTAAGGAGTCCCATCTAGTAGGGACAGGATCTTATTACGAAACGGGAAGCTCATAAGGGGGGCCATTTTAGGGGCTTGGAGGACGGGACTGCTGTGGCTTTACAGTATCATGTCATCGCAGCGGATGGCACGCGAAAGCGATTACTAGCATGCCTGGTGTATCGAGTGGCGTGGGCTGGTTACGGTTTGTCGTAGACCTGCCTCCACTCGGAGCATCCACACGCCTGCTTGCCTGCCTGCGTGGAGGTACTGCCTTCTCTTCCGTGCCTTTCAGGCGAGCCGAACAGCGATCTTCGATCAACTCGCGGCCGTCATCTCGCAGCAGGTGAGTGCTCATCATGCCGACGCCGTTTTTATTGTGCTCGGCATGATTACAGTGTTGCTGGAATGCGGCGAAAGTGTTACATCCTTAAGAGAGGAGAAAGCGCACTCTATTTAACGCCATTCTTCAATCCTCTTGTGGATGCACGTCCACATCAACATCACAGTATCGTTGGCATGTCTATGCTACAACCCATCGTTTCAGCATGGAGAAACGACCCTCCACTGTCAACAGCCCCAACCTGTTCGGCTTTCCCCGTCCTGTATCGATAACAGGTTAACTGGGGCCAAAGCGACAACGAATGCCTGGCCTACTGGCTGTCCAACACCGTGGTGCTGCACATACTCTTTAAGGACGTCAGACGCGCCTCCAGCCACGTGGACGAGGCAAACACTGACGTGCGTGACTGTGAGGGGTGGGGTTCTCTCTAGGGCATCTTGCGCCGGGGTTGCACATCGAGTCGCACTGCGATTGAGCTGTATCCCCACCTGTTGACCGACTTCATTGGGATTTCTCGCCACCTCTACACAGCCCTGGGCATGCGCACCTCAGTGGTATGTGTATTGTGTGTGCCTCGTCTCAAGCCCCTGCCTTGGATAGCTAGCACGTACACCTACGCTTTTGACGGTCATCTTAGGATTGGATGTCACTTCCCTGTGTCCGGTCACAAAAAAATTCGTCCTATTGGCTCAAGCAGCTCGTGGCCAAGTATCCAGCTCTGCTATTCAAGCATCAGCTGGCTGTCATCGTGGAGACCACATTTTCCTTGTTGCGTGCGAACGTGCGCAAGGAGATTTCCCTAATTTTGGAGGACTGTATCTTAACGCCCAAGGCGTCATCTGGCAGCACGGTTGCCCGCACCGGTACGTTATTCGTAGTGGCGCCGACGAGGTCCCATTTGCGCGTGTGTTCACTTGCACACATGTCTAAAAAGCCGTTATCTATGGCTGTGATCGCACCGGACGGCCCAGCTTTCCAGAAGGGTCCGAGTCCGTCCCCGGCTGGTTGGTGGCGATGCGCAATGATTGCATAGCCCGAGATGTGCTGAAGTATCCTGAGTATATATTCTGGCTGATGCTGACGCGATGGCATCAGCTCGCAAGGTCCTTTCCTGGAAAGGAAGGATTTAACAAGGTTTAACCAATTGGTATATATCAAGTATGGGTTGGAATTCTAATCCCTTTGGGCAAAGGGAGGCCAATCGCACATCTATGGATATGACAGATACGGTATCGGCATTGTCTCCAGGCTCGAATTGCGGGTATTGAAGTTCCATGGGCTATGAGGGCATTGGCAGCACCCTCAACATAGGCAGGTAGATCCGTTCCATAGCTGTGAAGAAGTGGTGCACCCACATTACAGGCGGGATGCTGAGATGTGAGGTGGCAGGCCTCATCCGGTCCTGGTTCGGATATCGTTAAGGATGTCTCCCCCTGGATGGGGATAAATACAGTATCCTGGATCCTGGATGTGTACCCTGGCTGATGCTGGCCTGTACCATCAACGCGCGAATCCTTTTCTGATAAGAAAGGGTGCCGAAAGGTGGGTTGTATTAGTTTCATCTATCGCCAATCACATGCTGGAGGACGACCTTTTGAGGGAGGTGGACAGGGGCCGCAGAACACAGTAGTGGTGGCTGATTGGCCAGCCGTCTTAACTAACGCCCTTTTAACAAGCGCCGGGGTTGCTGATCCTGGAGTAACTTTCCGTTACACACGCCTTGGGAGAGTCCACGCTTGCTGTGTAGACGTCTTTGCAGCATGGGAACCATGTGTGCCATGTACCCGGGCGCGTGGCTTGCATGTAGGTGCCACCGTGGCGCAGCAAGCGGACCCGTCCAAGGCCTGGACGGAACTTCTGCGCGTGCTGGACACGTTGCTGGGTGTGGCCGAGGCCAATTACGTGGCCCAGGTGCTGGTGGAGGTGAGTCCAGGAAGCAAGGAGTTGAGCAAGGGGTTGGGCCCCCCACCGCACGTCCCTAGGCAGTGACAAACTTCATTGCATTTCCTATAAATGTTCTTCCGCATATTTCTGGATTTACCTGCTTTGCATTTTTCGAATTGCTGTATGTGAAGGAACTGTTCAAGGAGCTCTTCCAGTACGTAAACATGCGGCTTTGCAATCAACTGCTATTGCGGCGTGAGTGCTGCTCCTTCAGCAACGGCGAACATATCATGATGGGGCTAAAACAGGTGGCAGACTGGACCCGGGAGCGGTGTCCGAAAATCGCGGGCTCGTTAGAGGAGTTCGAGCACCTGAGACAGGTGCGGGCGTAGCGTATGGCGATGGTATCAACTCCTCCTGAACCAGACGGGCCGCCTGGCTAAGGTACCAGTCTTTCATTAGCCGATTGGAGTGACTGCTGCAAAGGATATGGGCTCTGCAATGTTGGCAAGATGGGGCGTCTTCTTGGCAACACATAGCACGCATTTTGATCCGCAGAAGTTCACAAGGATTCCCATTGATGTGCAAGATGCACAGCCCACCATGAAAAAGGTTGTAAGCCTTGCCAACTCGCTTGGCGCGCAAATCCAATCGCTCACAGGCGGCAACTTTCCTCCTGCTGACTGACAAGCAAAGCAGGAGCCTAGAGGAGATTACCAAACTCTACCCACGGCTGTCCATCCAGCAGCTCTACCGCCTCTCCTACTTCTACCTGGACGACAAAGGGGAAACCCAGACGGTAAGTGCATTCCGTGCCTCGGCTTGCGCCAGCTGATACATTGACGACTGCTCTAAGGCGCCGTTCCAGCACATCTGCCCCTCGCGTAGGTTTCCCCCCGGGTGCTGCACCACATGCAACAGGTCATGGAGGACTCGAACATCATTCCATGCCCGGGACTGCTTCAAGTCGAGAACCTCTGCCTTCCCTTCCAGACGATCAAGCTGCTGTCGAGCTTAGACAACAAGGTGCGGAACAAGAAGATGCGGAATTTAGCAGCGCGTGTAATTTACTATCAACGGGTCAGCGTTTTCGGTGAAACAGAAACCCTAAAACCCCAAGTAATTGCGGTCGAGCTTAAATAACCGTAATACTTCAGACTTACGGCATAATATACGGTGCCATTTGGGGCATCCTTACGGTCAAAAGCGTAATATTGCCTTAACAAAAGCGTCCGCACCATGACCACCAAATGCCATCCAGCCGAAGCTCGAACGCTCATCCGGACGCTCATTTAACTTCTCGCCAGTTAAATCTCTCTAGCTGCAGTTCGACGTTTTCATAACGACGGCAGGCTTCATGGGTTGCTAGTCGGCCCATGTTCACGCCTCATTAGCGACTGGGAGAAGGAACTCGAAGGAGTCGACATTTCTCAACTTGCAAAGGGAATTCTGGGTTGCCCGAAATCGTCATGGAATACCGGGGGGTGCCTAATCGTGATGGTTCGTTATGGTAGCTCATTTATATAACCTAGGCTACCGTAAAACCACGTTGCTTTAAGCTTTACGTTGGCGTCATTTCGTGTTGTGTGTAGTTTCCAGCCCGAAGCGAGGCGTGCCACTATTGGATGCCGCCCACCACCAGGCGTGCTTTTATGGGCCATGCACATGCAGCATCCAGAGTGCTTATCTTCCTGTGTTACTGCTAAGGCATCCTGTACAATTGTCCTTTTGCAGGACCTCTACGTTAACCTGCACGCTTCCGGCTAAGGAGTGGGGACGGCTACTTGTCCTTCGCCATCCTGCAGGAGGTGCTGCAGGATGGCGTACAGCCATGAATGGATGGCGTACCACCAATGCCGTTGTGTGTAGTCCCTAGTGCACGAAATCTGATTGCATCACCATATTCCAGGTGAAGAAATGGAGTCAGGGGCCAACCCATAATATGTCGTACCAGCAGATGCCACGACCAGCTGTAGGGTAGTAGTGAGACGTGGTGAAGCACTCCACCAGCAATGCACGTGACTCTTCACGTCATAAGTAACGGCATTCGTGGTGCGTGGACGGGCAGCTGCAAAATACTCAAGCTACGCTCTGTACATACTTTAGGTGCTTGCAAGGACTGCTGAATTAGCACGTGCTTCACATCTAGGAGTACCTCGTGAATTCACTGCTGTTATTAAGATCTAAACTGTTTGTGACCGGGCATTATGGCCTTTATGGCATTCGTTTTCATGGCATGGTCGATGACTATGGCGTACCTATTCCCCCATTATGCCGTATATAAGTGACACGGTTGCACATGTCTGTGTTTTGTGGAACTGCTACTTTCGCATGCGCATTTCGCCTTCGCGTATGACCATCCGCTCACGCTGGTGGATTGGCAACTTTGCATTGTATTTTTGGTAACACGAAAAGTGTGTCTCTGTGTGTTACATGGTCGTTGGGGTGTGTACCCCGTACCTGCAAACCGTCCAATACGAGCTGAGGGCCCAAGGGCTGCCAGATCGCCTATAAGCAACATCCTACCTCGCATTTCAGACAAAGCAAGTGATAAAGGAGACTAACGACCAAAGGGAACGATAGAGTTGCTGTGGGACCACATACATTCTAGCATCTTCGCCAAACATTTAGGTTCCCACTTCATGATGTCCTTCATATGCTCAAAGCGTGGGAAATCCATGTCAGATCTGATTTCGCTGTACACCGGACAGCCCAGCAAGACGTGCTTCTCGACTCCAATATGGCTATCAGTGCTGCAGCAGGGGCATACCCGCTCCTCCCTAGGTACATAACACCGTCCCTTACATTGTCTGTTCGCCGCCAATGCCCAACAGCAAAGCCTAAATTGCATAATTTTACTATTCGCTGAACGCGGGATAAATGTTGTGGTATGCTTGAGCACCTCTTGCCTGCTTGCTCAGCCGCCAGACCCATCCAATGCTTAATTATTTCGCCATGTGGATTCCCGGTTGCTTACCGCCTGACGGATACACGCCTGGCTGGACATCTACACGCGTATGCTTCCAACCGCTCATCAACCGATCCTTGAACTCCGATACCACACTTTCCAGCAATGGCCTAGAAAACGGAGGACTAGTGAACCCCACCCGCCCCCTACGAGGTTGGACATAGCCTCTACGATCTCCCGTCACAAAACTTGGTGTGCCACAGACCCACACTGTAAACGGACACGGTTCCAAAACCTCACAATCTGCTTGAAAACGTGTTTGTGTAGAGGTAGCCGTGACAATTCAGCAAACAGGAGGCGGTGCGCTGGTCTGGCAGCTCGCACAAGTTGCCGCATGAATGATGCCTGGAGCTACACCGCTCCATCCTACAGACATGCCTCGAAGGGCCCCTCCGCAAAGTGACTTGCATCACTCCGCCTCCTGAGCCTGTCGAAGACTTCAGCCAACATTAACGGTCCCCACATTTGACAACCGTACAACAGTATTGCACGTACCCGCGTATCAAAACACCTCATCCTCACATCCGGGGTGAATAACTTTAGCTATCCGATTTTGTACTCAGCGTGAACATAGCTGCCCTAGCTGTGTTGTACAACTATTGGCAGCAGGCATGTGTTATATCATGAGTTTTGCAGGGAAGAACCGATCGGTGGATGCAGATTCCGTGATATACCCGTGATACCACTGCATGAAATGGCCGTTATGGCCCATACACTAACCCCAGATATTGTGCACCCTCCTAAGTCGGTACGGCTTCACCAGCCAGCCTGAGCTCACTACACGATGCCAAAAACACCAAAAATGTGATTTGCAAAAGGCCTATTAGTGGCAGGATTGCATGGCAGTGGCTTGCGGGTTTCTCTGAGCGCGAGGGTTTCACTTTCTTTTTTGTTGTTGTTACATGGTCGTGGGTGCGTTCCCCGTACCTGCAAACCACCCTAGTACGAGCCGAGGCTCAAGGGCTGCCAAATCGCCTATAAGCACCATCCTACCTCGCACTTCCAACGAGACAAGTGATGAAGTATACTAACGACCAAAGGGAACGATAGAGTTGCGGTGAGACCATATGCGTTCCAGCATCCTTGCCAGGCGTTCAGGTTCCCACTTCATAGCGTCCTTCATATGTTCGAAGCGTGGAAAGCCCATATCAGATCTGATTTCGTCGTACACCGGACAGTCCAGCAAAATGTGTTTCTCATCCTCGATGTGGCTATCAGTGCCGCAGCAAGCGCATACTCGCTCCTCCCTAGGTATATAACGCCGTCCCTTACGCGCTCTGTTAGCCGCCAGTGCCCAACAGCAAAGCCTAAACTGCATAAGCTTGCGATTCGCCGAACGTGGGATAAACATTGTGATGTGCGGGAGCACCTCCTTCCTGCCCGCTTGCTCGGCCGCCAGACCCATCCAATGCTTATACTTCGCCATGTGGATTCCTGGTTGCTTGCCGTCTGACGGATACACGTCAGGCTGGACATCTAAACGCGTATGCTTCCAACCACTCACTAATCGGTCCTTGAACTCCAAAATCGCACGTTCTGGCATTGGCCTGTTCATCAGCCACTCCACTCGTTCGTCTACCTCGTGTAGCCCTTGCGGGGCCTCTTTCCATACGTCGTGCCCCAAAAAACATAGAAAATGGAGGAGTAGTGTCCCCCATCCGGGCCCTTCGGGGTTGGAGAGGGATTCTGCGACGTCCTGTCGCAAAACTTGGTATGCCACAGACCCACGCTGTAAACGGACATGGTTCCAAAACCTCACAACCTGCTTGAGAACGTGGTAGTGTAGGGGTAGCTGCGATAGCTCTGCGAACAGGAAGCGGTGTGTTGGTCTGGCAGCTCCTACAATTTGCCGCATGAAAGATATCTGAAGCTGCACTGCTCTGTCCTTTAAGCATGCCTCGAAGGGCCCCTCTGCAAGGTTATTCGCATCACTCCGCTTTCTGAGCCTGTCCGAGACCTCAGCTAGCATAAACGGCCCCCACGCTTGACAACCATACAACAGTATTGCTCGTACCTGCGTATCGAAACACCTCATCCTCACATCTGGGGCGAACAACTTTAGCTTATCTAATTTTGCACTCAACGCGAACATAGCTGCTCTAGCTGTGTCATACAACTGCTGACGGCAGGCCCAGAATTGCCGTTCCGGCCCATGCACTAACCCCAGATATCGTGCGCTATCCTTAGCCGGTATGGCCTCTCCAGCCAGCCTCTCACTTTCTGGCATCTGTCCTTCCCAGTCGCGTTAATTATCCGCCGCCCCTGCTGCTGCCTCAGCTCTCTGTCTTGGTTACTTCGCGCAGGGCAGAAATATGGAGCCTTGCTCGTGTGTGGCCGGCGTCGCTTCTTCATTAACAGGTCCATGCCCATAACTTTATGTTACCTATGCATGTTTCTTTCCGGTTCTTGGCGCAACGGATAGAGGACAGAAAAAAACAATAAAACAAACAAAAGACATAAACTTTCAATTATCAGTCCATGGGGGCCCCGGCTTTGACGGACAGGAGGGTTGCAAAGGGTCCCATCCCACAAAATCCTGGGGTTGGGTACTGGTCAGCCATCCCCCCATCCTTTGGCAGGGGCAACCGTCCCCCATCCCCATCTTAGGGCCGGTGCTAATCCCACCCCTCTGACAGGGTTCTCATCATCATGCTAAAGCTGGGGCCCCCAATCCCATGCTGCCAGCGAGGGTCCGATCCCCATTCCCTTCGTCCAGGGTCATCCCCATCCTGCAGCTGTGTTCACATCCAAAAGCTGTCAGCGCCCCATCCCTTGAGCTGGTGCCACAACCCTCATCCTGAAATGCCAGCTGCAAACCTTATCCTTAGACAGGTGCTGTAAACCTAATCCTGTAGCATGTCTCATCCTCCTTAAGTCGGTTGTAACTCTTAACCAGGCTGGGCTGGCCAGAAAGTATAAAAGTCCCGTACATTACACATAGAACAACCATAAAATTTCGCAGAGGATTGCACACATGCACAGCACTGTGCGATCTATACGGCAGTTGCACACCACTGTACGGCAGCTATGCTTGACCTCGCACATTACAGCTCTATAGCGAGTTCTGGGCCGTCCCCAAGAGCGGGCCACCACCCACATTCAGATGCGTATGTTAGTGTGAGCAGTGTTGGCAAGCTCGCTCACGCACTGCTGAGACCGTGTTACTTGCCAAGCACCAAGTACCAGCAGGAGGCGCCACAAACCAAATTGGGACACATGCACCCTGATACTGTCACGCATGCTGGGCCATTAGCCTTATGCACATTAGCAAAATTGATGTGATCAAGCATTATACTCGACCATTCATATGTACAATTGGCACCCCTCTCGATCCAGTCTATTTTGTTTGTAAGAAGGGTTCAGCTCCCTCGCGATCGGTGTCTCCCTGAGTACTTTTTGCCTGGTGTTAGTTACAATGGTGCAGGAATTGGGAACTTTCCCAATCGAATCTGGTTCGAAACTCGCTGTGCAAACTGCCGAGCTTTGTTACAGTGTTGGTATCGAAGACCAACCGGTCAAAGAGACCTCGGAGTCAAGTACTCCCACCGCTTCCGCACCCTTTACAAACATTTCTTATCTAATCTACATGGCGAGCCCAGCAAGGAACCCGCTCCGCGCACGGTCTTCGGACGCTGATCAGGCGTCAGAACATTACCAATTACACCAGGTGAGTCCGACTAGGGCACAGAGGCCCATACACTTAAACCAGGCAGAATATGACAAGTACGTGAGGTGCGCCCAGCGTAAGGGCATCATGCTGCCTTTGCGACGGTTTGAAATCGTAAGACAGCTCTGCGCGAGCAGGAACACCACACCGTCCTTGTAGGGACTGCGGAATACACACAAATCTTCTGGTCTTGTTCACAGTGTCCCAAACTCTGTTTTGGAAAACTCCCACTTTGTTTAGCGCAAACCGCAAACAGCTCGACGATCTTTCATTATCTTTACATTATCTCCTCTGTTATGGCATATTTTGGCGCATACGACGGCGCCGCGGACGGCCGTGGCCATGGCCGGACAAGGTAAGAATGGGGTTGGACTGCGTCTGACTGCGGAGCCGCACAGTGCGCCTTTGGCTCACTCCA